TTTACAACATTAATTAATGTTTGTGAAAGTTATTTAATACAAACACTTGATTGTTCATGTTTGTTCACTTCATTCATTGTGCATTAAATAATTGTTAACAGATAAAACTTTTGATTTAAAAAATGTATTAGTATATTTTTAAATGAACCCCAAGGAGAATAATTGCTACAGTATATATATATGGTTTATTGTTAGGTCATTTTATCTAATGTTATCTAACAAATAGAATCTTATTGTAAAGTGTTTTTAATACTACAGTTTCCATCTTTGTAACTGTGATATACACTTTAATATATGTAAATTTATCTAAATTAAGCTTTGGTACCGAAATTGGTACCGAGAACCGTGGATTTTCACTGGTATTGGTACCGAATACTGAAATTTTGGTACCGTGACAACACTATATAATCGAGCCATTCCATTGTAGTCCTTAAAGTCTGTTAATTTATGCCATTATCCTTTTTTAATATCTTTACCATGTTGATTAATAATTTTGAACTGGGCAAGAACAATTTGCTCAAATGTCTTTGGATCAGAATCAATGGATGCTTGCAGTTGTTGTTTCTGTGAGTTTGGAGTCTGTTTATTATCTTATTTCTCTCTAATTAGTTGTAATTTAAGCCCACTTCTTTTCTTTAGTTTTTTCATTCTCTGAAACATACACAGAGTGATCCCGCTGATCACTGTTCCTTTTCTATGTGTTATCTGCAGCCTTGCCTGCTCGTGTCCATGTACAGTAATGGAATTTCGTTGGGAAATTTACCAGACCTCTAGATGGGCTTCAGCACTTCACATAGAAAGGCAGCCAAGGTTTTTTTTTTTTTTTTAGTGTGGCTCTTAACTGTCCATTCTCAAATCAATGCACACTTCCCCCCTTGTCCGACAAAAGGCAGACACTCATAACTACAGTACATACACTAAAGTACATACCACGCTTTTCTTGAAGGGATAGTTTACCCAAAAATTCAAATTGTCATCAATTACTCATCCTCATGTAGTTCCAGATTCCAAACCCATAAGACTTTCATTCAAAAAAAATGTTTTAACGAAATCTGAGATAAACAGAAGCTCATGCATGCTTGTTTGATGCATAATAATTAATCAGGTTCATTCTCGTGTTTCATACCAGCACATTTGAGCTTCTGTTTACCATATTTTAGTGATCCATGTACGTTCGCTGATCAAAGTTTATATGTGTACATAAAATCCTAAATTAAATCTGTTCATCATATAAAGTAATCGTGTCTCTTCAGAAGACTTGGATTAAACCGCACGATTCATGTGGATTTATTTTATGATCCCTTTAGGAGCATTTTGAAGCATGAGAGTTTTGGGTGAAAGGACTTTCAATGAAGGGATTTCATAAAAAAATATCTTCATTTGTGTTCCTAAGATGAACAAAAGTCTTACTGGTTTGTTGCGACATGAGAGTGAGTAATTGATTGCAGAATTTTCATTTTTGGGTGAACTAAACCATTAACATAGCATATATATACCAGTTCATGTAACTGCTGCTCAGCAGGACCTGTTTTGCCTTGAAGCTGGACGTTCTACCCATCAGACCCTGACTAAGAAGTTTGCTTCAATTAGCATGTGTCCTACTCAGAGATATGCATCGCTGAAGCCTACACTGTGAACAGTAGGCTAGCTGCTTCCGTTTCCCCTAAAGGAGGTAAGAGGCAATACCTCCTGCTGTCTCTCGCAGCGATCTGCCCCATATGTGCAGGGAAATGTCACTGCCTCTGCGGAACACTCACTGGATCGCTTGCCCCGGCAGGAAGTACGTGTCACCTGACCCCACTGCTGCTACTTCACACTTCCCTCAGGGAGCGAATGTCTTTTGCACAGACCTACACTTAAAGGACATTATGCAAAACTTCTCAAAGCTTCTCCTTCCTTTAGTCCATGGGTTTGGAATTAAAACATTCCTCGGAATTGGTCCTGAATTTAATAAGCAAACTTCACACTCACACTCCCTATATATTTCATTATTTAGTTTCATTATTTCATTGCATTACATTTATTTAGATAATCCTTCATATATATAAAAAAAAGTATAATAAATTCCCACAATTTAAAGGTGATAATTACCCTGTTTGCACATTATTTTTGGTTATGCGATAGTGGTGCAGAAATGACTTTAAGTACTCAAAATAATTTGTATTCATTTCAGAATAGTTTACAGTTACAGTAAAACTTAAGCCCAAAGTATACTTTATTTTTTAAGTGTACGCTAGCATATTATGCGTGCAGGCGAACTTGTAGCCTTTCAAAGTATTCTCCATTTAATAGCGTGCGCGAACGCAGACGGGTGACACATGCGCTCCAGTAACCTTCGTCTTTGTCCAGTGTCTGCGCTGTTTTTCTCCAGAAGTTATGACCATTAAAAATGTCTTTCATTGCATCCGAAATCAAATACTTCCCTACTATATAGTATGCGAAAAACACTACGCCAAAAGAGTAGTATGTTGTCCGTATACATAGTATTCGAAATACACTAGGCGAAGTGCGCATTCGATTGACACTTTACACGGGAGGGGATTTATGAATGGAAGTGAAGCGACGCAACTGACGCTGGTTGTTCACGTGACAGTAACAACATGGCAGATGTAGTACGTCCAAATTTCCTTCATACTACCCATATTCATACTAAATAGAGCATCATTTTTTAACGGTCGCAAAGTAAATTCAAATGTAGTACCTGCTAAGTACGCGATTTCGGACGCATCGTTTGTTTTCTTCTAAACTAAAGTCGCGGCTCACACAAGCGCTTGTCAATGCGGGCGTCTGTTATTGTTGCAGTTTCCGGCATTTTGTTGTTGTTTCGTCTCTTTAGTTTCGTTATACTGTGAAACAGCGGCCTGGGCCAGTGTCGCCACCTTGTCAGTGCAAAACAAATTTACTGCGCGTACAATGTAAAGTTTGGGCTTTACTGTGATGGTATCAGATGATAATGCCATGGTACTGTATGTTTTACATTAACATACCACGGTTTTTCCCTCAAAGAATAACATGATAATGAAATCATGGTCGATTCCAAAATGTTCCACTTTGTGCTGTTTTGTAAGTAAATGTACTAAGTGACCTTTCATCTTGTAAATGCGATTATTGGTGCCTGCACCCAGCTTAGGCTGTTCAGTTTAATGGCGAATTACGCAAGTTAAAATATTTATCTCTGCCCCTCTATGTGGGAGTAAAAGGAGTGTGTTGCTAGTATCAGTGGGAGAGAACAAGGAAAAACCGTTAAAAAACTTTTAATGAGCCTGCAGCATCCATCATTAAGCAAGCAGTCACAACAAAGTGACTTTGTTCTCTTCCGCTCTCCTCCATCTCTCATAATCTGTCTCTCCCTCTCTCTTCCTCCTTGTCTCGCTCTCCGCTCACACACACACACACATTTATAGAGCAGAGCCAGAGATCAAGGTCAGCTCAGATGGAGTCGAGCCAGAAGCCCCCACACAAGCATTATGGGTGATTGCCTTCTCGTGTCACCCATCAGCTGAGATCACATCACTTCCAATAAGTTACCAGAATTTCAGATATTCAGTCTCTGTCTGTTACTATTGTCTTTCCCCTATTTGTTTTTCCATCTCCTCCTTTTTCTTTTACAGCAACAAATAAATGTCTCTGACGGAAGAAGGCCCTTGCTCATGCTCTTGGCTTTTAAATAAGCTGAGCTAAAATAACAACTGAACGTTACCGGGTTGAGAGAGAAAGGAAGTTTAGAAGAGGGGCGTGCGTGATTCTCTCCATCAGCAGTTGGAGGGGAAAACCACAGCGATGCATCAGGAGTCTGATGCTTTCTGAATGCTAAAGAGAGCTCAGTGCTTTATAGGCGCTATATACATAAGCGCCTGACCCTCCCCGTCGTCTTATGCATGATTAAACAAGCATCCATTGCTTCGATTTGAAGCTTTCATGAGGAATGGGTATGCATTTTTAGATGGAACTGCCTTATTAGAGGTGTTTTCTGAGACACGTGCCACTGTTACTTCTGGAAACCCCTCACCCTTCGGGTAAAAACGTACTTTATGCAAGGACTCAAATACAGAGGCAAATACTTGGTCAAAGCATTGCAAGTGCATGGTTGCGTTGTGCATACTTGCAATGCATTCTTAAGTAGAGGTGTGAATTTTTATTCTTTTCATTTTAAGTGTCCATTTTAATCGTCTTAAAATGTCCAGGAGAGGAAAAATTCCATGTACTTTTTAATTTTTTTTGTATAGATGTTTTCTTTTACTGTCATTTTCACTGAAGAATATCATTTTTTTATAATGATGAATATCATTCATCAATTTTTAATTATATTATATTATATTTAGTGCTTTCAAATCGAGTAATCACGATTAATCGCATCAAACATAAGTTTTTGTTTACGTAATATATGCGTGTGTGTATATAAATATAATACATATATGATATAGATTTGACTGCACTAATTATATTATATTACATTAGAAATTCCTACCATTTAAAGATGTTACATTTTAACCTGTTTTTAAAAAACAAATTCTCAGAATTTGTACTGTTATTTTCATTGAAGAATATAAAATGATTTAAATATACATTATTTTTTAATTTATTTATTGTTTAAATGTGCATTTTATTATTTTATTTTGATAATAGTTCATTTATATTATATTATATTGCATAAATTCTTACAATTTAAAGACAATATGTGCAATTGTAACCGGTTTTAAAAAAGACAACTGTCATTATTTCTGCTATTTTGGTGATGTTACTTCAGAAATTACTTAAAGATTACAGTTACAGTAAAACTTACTGTGACGGTATCAGATGGTAATGCCATGGTGCTTCCAAATATACCATGGTATTGTTTTTTCCATTTACATACCAGAGTTTTTTCATTTTACTCGAAGGAATACCATGGTAATGAAATCATGGTAGATTCCAAAATGTTGTAAAAATTTTGTGCTGAATAACACTGTCATGTTTACACGCTCACCTTGTCCCCATCTCTCTGTGTTTTCCCTGGACAGGCGAGGACTTCGCAGTGGTTCAGCAGGAAATAATCATGATGAAAGACTGCAAGCACTCTAACATTGTGGCCTATTTTGGTAGTTACTTAAGGTATAGTAATGACCACTTTCCTGACCACACTTTTACTGTTCTCTGCTCTCTCCTTTACTTACCCCTTCTTTCACTCGCTCCGTCGCTCGCCTCCTGCTCTGTCAGGTCCTATTCCTGTCTAAGGCTGTTGAGTTGACACTGTGCTCTGTTTGGCTGGGTCTCTCAGCTGCACTGCAGGAACAGCCACCTCGGTTTCTGATCATTGTATAGTGTTTTAAGCAAGGTAGATCTCATTTGATTTTGGTGGCAAAAAGCAGGACTTTAACATTGACAGTATGATGTTTTGTCAAAGTTTGGTGTTACATGACACCTTCATCGCCCACCAGGGATCTACAATCTTTTAGTTATTTTCACTAGAAATAATTAAAAATGTTAGAAGGTTAAGCTAAAATGAAAAAAAAAAAAAAAATGTAATGCATCCCTCAGTTTGCAAACAAACCGAAAATAGAAATGTGAAGGTTGTAATTTCTTCTGGCTAACTTCTTGGTGAATGTCTTGTTTTTGCTTCAGCGACAATTCATGTTTTTTTTTCTGTGAACAGTTTTTGATATGGTTTTATTACATTAGTCTCATGTAAACATGTATAACCTAATGTTAAAGTCTTCTGGTCATAATATGGCTATAAAATTGTGCATTTTAACATTTATCCTAGTACAACGTCTCTTATAATTTTGGGAAAATAGATATAATAGATACCATATATCAATACAGCTTCTATTTTACTTTTTCTGTTATAAATAAACTACCATTCAAATGTTTGGGTTCAGTAAGGTTTTTTTTCTTTTTTTTTCTACAAATAAATTAAAATATATATATTTAAATGGCTCAAAAGTGACAATAAATATATTTATAATCTTGCAAAAGATTTCTATTTCAAATAAATGCTGTTCTTATGAGCTTTTTTATTCATTCAGATTGTTTAGAATCCTGAATTTTCCCCAAAATATTAAGCAGCATAACTTATTTCAACATTGCCAATAATAAGAAATGTTTAATAAAATGATTTCTGAATATGATTATGTGACACTGAAGACTGGAGTAATGATGCTGAGAATTCAGCTTTGCCGTCACGGGAATAAATGACATTTTTAAATATTTTACAATAGAAAAGTTATTTTAAATATTAATAATATTTCATAATATACTGTTTTCGCTGTCATTTTGATCAAATAAATGCAGCCTTGAGCATAAGACACATCTTTTTAAAAAAACAAACATTTAAAATATCTTACTGACCCCAAACTTTTGAACCATATATATTAATTCTGAAGTTTGAACAAATTAGACGTTACTGTGCAGTGAAATATCTAAAAACGCCACTTGAATTACCCATTATTAAATAATTTTATTGTTGTCTTCAACTTGAGTGGTTTGTCTTTGGTAGGCAGTATATCTCTTAAATATTAGTCTAGACATTAGGCACCTTGAGAAGTGGGGAAGGGTGTTTTTGATAAAAGCAGGTTGCTTGTGAGTTATGACTGTCTCCTACTTGCTGTGTCATGACCCAGAAAAGTGTGCATCCTTCCACTCTCCCTATGGGGCTGCCAGGGGACTATTTCGAGACGCATCGATTGAAATATAATTTGTTGCTGTTTTTCTTTCTCTGTCTTTTCAGGAGAGATAAATTATGGATATGTATGGAATACTGTGGGGGAGGCTCATTGCAAGACATATATCACGGTAAGATACACCATACAAAGGTAAACAATCAACTGCTAACTCAGACTCACTCAGTGGTCAGTATTCCAATGCTGTGCAATATCTCCTTTCCATTCATTATTTAAAGGAATAGTTTGCCCAGAAATGACAATTCTGTCATCATTTATTCATCCTCACTTAGTTCCAAACCCATACAAGTTTATTTCTTCTGTAAAGCACAACATGATTCATGTTGAATAATTTTCTTGGTCAATTTTCTTTCCATACAATTCTTTTCCATGAGGCTTTCGAGCTTCCAAAAGGATACAAAAACACCCTAAAACGATCGCAAAAGTGATCCATATGACTTTTAAGTTTTGACATTTTAAGAGCTGACCTTGTCAAAGAGCGACCTGTACATTGTTCAGAATGTCTCTTCTTGCATTCCAAGTGAGAAATTATGTCTCAAATGACATGAGAAATTATGTCTCAATTTTCATTTTTGGGTGAACTGTTATTATAAATGTCCCAGTGTAAACAATGTTGATACGATGGTTGCAACGGTTTGAAAGTTCCTCTCGTTTCTGATGCCAGTTTTTACATAAATAGACTTTCCTCTCCTCCAATTAACAATCTGATTTTTGACAGATGGCCTAAATATACAAATCTTTTCTTACGTTGTTGGAAAGCGTCCCTCTGTATGTTCCCAGGTGATAAATTTAGCAGAGCTCAGTAGAGTGGCCTGTCAGATCATTAGAGCTCATTTTCACGGCAGCTGTCGGCAGTTCTGTGATTCTCTCTGAGCCTCTGCGTGGCGTGGGGTGGGGGGTAGATGGTGTTATGCCACTAACGTGTTAGCTTAGTGCCCAGCCTCACATCCCACGTTATCTGCACCCCCGCTGCCACGGTTGCACTCGGCTGTAGGGTCACAGGCCTGATTAGAGCCGAGGCCGACCGGCTCCAGTCTTCCCACACAAAACACATAAAGACATACAGAACACATGAATCAAGTTCTGCTTGGACAAACATGTTTTTAAATAACTCTATGAACTAGTAAATGATCAAGTAAAGGACATTTGAGGTAAAAAAAAAGAAAGAGGATATACTGGACATTTCTGCTGAGTGGATGAAAGCCTCTACACCAGTTTGGACGTAATTAAAGAGCAAACCTTGTAATAATCTGTCTTTAATGCACTCTTTATTCTTTTATCTTTACATATGTCTAACACATATTTTACAGAGGAAGCAATATATACACTTTTGTTTAACAAATTAATACTTTCTATTCAGCAAGGATGCATTAAGTTGATCAAAATCACAGTAATTATTTATGTTATAAAAAACTATTAAAATTAAAGCTATTCTTTTGAACTTTCTATTCATCAAAGAATTCTGAAAAAAAAGTATCATGGTTTTCACAAAAATATTAGGAAACACAACTGTTTTCAATACTGATAGTAATAAGAAATGTTACTTGAGCACTAAATCAGCATTTTAGAAGGATTTCTGAAGGATCATGTGACATTGAAGACTGGAGTAATGATGCTGAAAATTCAACTTTGCATCACAGGATGTGTTTTAAAATATATTCGAATAGAAAACAGTTATTTTAAATTGTAGTGATATTTCACAGTATTAATGTTTTTACTATATTTTGATCAAATAAATGCAGTCTAAGTGAGCACAAGAGACTTCTTTCCAAAGCATTAAAAAAATCTTACCGAACTTTTAAATGGTAGTATAATTCACATAAAAAATATTTGAGTCAACGTAAAAATAAAAAATAAATTGAAAAGAAAAACTTTATCTTTAGCTGCTTTTCCAGCAGTTATAAGAACGGTAAGGAGAGGTTCCAGTTGAGCATGGTTTGTCACGGCACGATTACAAACCGTTCTCGACATCGCCGCTCAGGATTGGTCACTTGTCTGTTGCCTGGCTACTAGTTTCACTGTAGCTGACCAAGCGCGCTATTTCAGCGAAGTGAACATAAGTCATCAATAAAATGAAAAGAAATATCTGATCATCTTCTATAACGCAGTATTTACATCTCATACCATCTGTTAGCTCTTGCGCTACCAAGACAACAACTGATGCGTTTGTATTACATTCCAAAGAGCTCCGTTATCAACTCCACAGTCCCACAGTAAATGAAGCCATCCAACGAAATGAAAACGGTTAAGCAACGAGAAAGGTTTGGCCCAACAGTGGAGTAGCGGCTTTGTAATCTTTCATCACTGGTTTAACATACTAAAACAACTTTCCTTTCCTGATGACATCACCATGCCCTCTTATTTTTCAACCTATCACATGTTACCACTATTTACAGTCCAGTCAAGTCCTGGCATCTGGTTTCAATGGGTTGCGGACACCATTTCATAAATTTAAGACCCTTCTGCTCTCTTTCTCTCTCTCTCTCTCTCTCTCTCTCTCTCTCTCTCTCTCTCTCTCTCTCTCTCTCTCTCTCTCTCTCTCTCTCTCTCTCTCTCTCTCTCTCTCTCTCTCTCTCTCTCTCTCTCTCTTTCTTCAGCCTATTTAGTATTCGCTCCTTCAAACCGTCAAAAATCCTACATCGTTATGGGGAACCGACAGATGAGCTTCTCAGACGCCTTTTGAATGTTCTTTTGCTAAAGTTTCAACGTCTGTTATTTTCATCAGTAGTCCATTTAGAGTTGTAGAGTAACTCTATATTTTGTCAGGTTGGAAACGTGTAATCATCAGTCACATTGGGTTCTTGATAATCTCGTCCTTGGTCTGCTGAATGAAACCCATTAGTGGTGCTTTTGTTAAACTGTCACTCCAGTGTGGTATGGGAAGGATCAATGTTATATTTGTTCTCTTGGTTTAAACAAGTTACAGCTTAAGATAACTACTCTGCATGCCTTATTTTTCAACTGATGTGTTTGCACTTTTGTACACACTTTTATATTGGTCGGATCATTACATTTAAGATGTTTTGGCAAATATTCTGGGATGGGATTTTTCAGATGTACTTTGTAGATTACATTAGTTCTAAATGTACACTAAATATGTCTCCACAGTTACTGGGCCTCTAACAGAATCACAGATCGCATATGTAACAAGAGAAACCCTTCAGGTAAGCCATTTTACCGGGCTCTGTTTTGACAACTGAAGCAATCTGCTGTGACCATGAAAGCTACTTTTGAATTTTTAATGGTAGACATGTTGGCCGATATTTCATGCTCCTTGTTCTGTCTCTAAAAAGGCAGTTTGTAAATGTGTTTTTGAGATGATTATGAATTAAAACGAGTTTTAATCATGGCTTTCATTTCAGGGTTTATATTACCTACACAACAAAGGAAAGATGCACAGAGACATAAAGGTAATGTCATTTATTTCTCATCGATTCGAGCTTTTGTGTGTCTTAATGAAAGACTCCTTTCAGTGGCAAGGAATTGATTGATTTAATTGTACTCAAACGCCAAGAAAAAGTTGAGTGACAGCACATAAACCCACCTCCTGCTACATCTTATCAGCAAATCAAATCACTACCAGGTGGAGTTTTTAGCAAAAATGTATGTTTTACCTTGCAACGAAAAACTGTTGTTTTTCACAAGGCAGATCAATTATTATTTTTGTAAATCTATTTGGTGTCGCTGACGGCACAGAAATTACACACATCAGCTTTAATGATTCTGATTCATTAATGATTCGTCGTTATTTTTAGGAAATGATTCCTTTAACAATTCTGCCATTATTTTGCAATTATGTATGGAGCTGCTAGTGGTGCAGAAAGGATTAGTTTAGATTAGTTGCTTTAAGGATTGTGTTTCATCGTTTTAATAAAGCATACACGTATTTAAAACAATCCCTCCTTCTAAATATGGAATATTTTTAAATTATTCATTTAAAAGTTTGGGGCCGGTATAAGGTCTTTTTAATGTTTTAAAAAAAAGTATCTTATGCTCAACAAGGCTGCATTTTATGAAATATAATTTAAATTTTAATACATTTTAAAGCGTAATATATTCCTGTAATGGCAAAGCTGAATTTTCAGCAGCCATTACTTCACTCTTCATTCTCAAGACATTTTATTATCATCAATTTTGAAAACAATGAACGTGGTTTTTGATGGTTCTTTGATTAATAGAGAGTTCAAAAGAGCAGCATTCGTATGAAATAGAAATCTTTTGTAACATTATAAATGTATTTACTAATGCATCTTTGCTTAATACATTAAAAATAAAAACTGACCCCAAACTTTTGAACGGTTGTGTATGTTGGCTGTTCAAATCAGCAAATTATTAATAATTTGCAACATAAGCTGTGTTATTGCTCATATAAAGCAGTAAAGCATGGCTGTTTACAAAAATGCCATTAAAAAGTAAACCCCTTAGTACCTTTTAATGGTGATTTGGTGAAGCCAGATGTGCAATCACTGGTAAAGAAAGAGAAAATGTGTTACCTGACCAGAGGGAGGTGTAATTAGTATGACTCAGATGGTGCTTTCACATCTCTGATCATAGATGAAAGCAGGTGTTGAAATAGATTTTATAGGGGGACATTTTTTTATTCTGAAGTCTGTTGGATTAATTTTTCATTTCATCTTACAAACCTACCAGTAAAACATTCAATAATGTGTTATAATTGCAGATGTATAATGCTATACAGTATAATGCTGTATAATATTACAGTTTCATTTCATGAAGTGTTTTTCCATTTGAAATAGGGTGCCAATATTTTATTGACGGACAATGGTTATGTCAAGCTAGGTAAGAAAACATTTTTTTTTTCCATTGTGATGAATGTGGGGGAAATGAAGTGACTTATCATGTTACCAGCTCAAATCATTAAAAAAAGTGTAAATAGCTTTGTATTTGTGACTGTGAGCATCACCTCATGTTCTTATGTTTGATCTGCTGTGGCATTACACAGCTCTCAAATTTCATAATTCGTAAGACATAATTAGACGCGTGGTAGTGTGAGCTGCACACAACTCACATGAGAGGTGTCTGTGGGATTGTAGTAAAGATGATCTTTTGTTTCTTTATCTCTGCAGCTGATTTTGGTGTATCTGCACAGATCACAGCCACACTAGCAAAAAGAAAATCGTTCATTGGGACTCCTTATTGGTATACAGCAGTTTTTTTTTCTAGCTTTGTTGTGCCATACACACATACACCTTACAATCATACATGCATACAATAAATTATTTATAATAATTTTTTATAATTAAAATAAATGTGACCTTAAATTTGTGCAAAATTACTCTTAAATGACTATTTAATTAATACAAAAATGGTCACCAGTTGTAAACCCTTCACGTCATACAATTATATAAATGTAAAACCTCATATCCTTATGTTGAATAATAAAAAATACCATATTATTTTGTCAACTACCTGAAATGATTTTTAAAAAGAGACTTTTCACAGTTGAGTTTTAAAAAACCCCACATTTAATCTTTTATAATTCAGTAGTTTCCTACATGGCCACAGAAGCCTTTTCCACAGCTCATGTAACCATCAGGTTGGAAATGTTCCTAAATATACTGTGAGTGATGATGTGGTCTGTAACTCATGATAACAGGATGGCCCCAGAGGTGGCCGCTGTGGAGAGGAAAGGGGGCTACAATCACCTGTGTGACATCTGGGCTGTGGGCATCACCGCCATTGAACTGGCCGAACTACAACCTCCCATGTTTGACCTTCATCCAATGAGGTGAGGGTTTAAACAGCAGTATGGATCTGTTCCAATTCAAAAAGATTTTTTTTTTGCTGTACAGTTCAAAATGGACTGTGGCAGTAACACGATGGCATTACATATGATGGTATGTATACCACAATACTGAAAGATTGCCATATTATTTGACAGTTCTGGTTCAGATAAAGATTCCACTTAAAGGTGTTTTTCAATGTTAAAATACATTCTCTTATTTTCACTTTGTCATTTAGCTCAATCAGTGACATGAGTCTGTTTGTTCAACGAGTAGAACGAGTGTTTGGGAAATTTCGCAGATGTTCAGTGACTTATACCTAAAATGTCATAAAAATATTCTCTTATTCATAGAAAGTGGACAAAATGGATTTAATTTGTCGGCTCTAGCTACTTTAACAACAAAAAATACACACACAATAGTACCATGTCCAGAAAACATGTTAATACACTTTGATACTTCTTTGCTAGTGTAAATAGTTGTTCTATTATATTTTGAGCATTTTCTATAATAGGTGAATTCTCACTCTCACACTGGACAGTGAAACTATATCAATGTTTTGATGAGTTGAGATGCTTTAATTTACCCACATTTTCTTTCTGAGCCGAGCTATTTTTCTGCTTGTGACATCAACCCATTTTTTTCTCTCCAGAGCTCTGTTTTTGATGACGAAAAGCAACTTTCAACCCCCCAAATTAAAAGACAAAGTTAAATGGTAAGTGATAATTACATTTCCAGGCAATGATTGTTACCTGGGTGTGTAAAATACTTGATACCGAGAGAGATTTCAGTGTCAGTTAGTTTCAGTATGTTTTTTTATTTTTTTAAATGCCCTATTCTTTAATAGCATTAATCACCAATGAAATTTGGGCCAAGCACTCTCATTTGCCCTAAACAGTTACTTTTATGCCTTTTGATTCGGTTGAACTTGACATTCTCTTATCTTGGCTAATTATGAATCTGGTCAGGTCTTCTGCCGAATAGTTTCTTCTCCATTACCTTGCAGCTCTGTTAAATCAAATTAGCTTAATTACATTTAAAGCCAACAAACTGCTCGGCCTCGCGGTCGAAATGCTTGTTACGTGTAAGATTTATGGAGACTCTTCTTTATGTTCTGGAGGACCAACAACTTCCACAATTTTGTGAAATTGGCGTTGACGAAAAATCCAAAGAAACGGCCACCGGCTGACAAGTTATTGCAGGTAGGAGGGGCTTTTTGCATTTTGTGTTTCTAAGTTTCATAATATTTGCATTAGTTCATATTTTGGATTTTGAATTGCATTTGTTAAATGTATTTTATAATTAATTATATTGTAAAATTGAACAATAGAATTTGGTTTCATTATAACTATTTGAACAATTAATAATATTTATTAATGTATTATTTTATTTCTTATATAATCATTTTTTTGTTGTCATTGTTCTGAATTACATTCGTTAAATTTATTATTTTTTATACATTTTATAATTTTCTTTTTAAATGATATAACTTTCAAGACTAAGACAAATGACATATCTTTAAAGAGCGTCTAACATTGCCAATCGTCTCTACCCAGCATCCCTTGGTGTCCCAACCATTGAGTCGTATTTTGGCAATTGAGCTGCTGGATAAAGCGAACAACCCCGACCACACGTCCTACACAGACCTGGATGATGACGACCCAGAGCCGGAGGTACAGTATATCTCTCCCTGTGTGATTCTCAATGTTATCACAACTATCACTTCAAGAATGACGGCCCCATCGGGACTATTATTCACAAACAGAGCCCAGACAATGCCAGCTGATCGAACTGACTACGTTAGCCTCTCAATCCCAAGAGCGGGGATGTCAGTTTGATGAGCCCCGTGAGTTTATATCTTCAATACCTCAACCGTTTTATTGCGGTGATATTTTTCACTGGCTTTCTTTCTTTATTATTAGCCTGTAATGGTTGTTTTAAAGGCCCTCATTCGTTTGGATTGTCTCTAAAGTTAGGTTTATACCCAGGCGTCTCTTCCAGTTGTGCTGCCTACAGGGCTTCTTCTGATAAAGATTTGTGAAATCATTTGGCCTCTTCTAAAGTCCACCAGCGAGAATGAAGACTTTTTTAAGGATATAGTTGTCCTTCATTTCATCTCTCCTGTTCTACCCATTTCCGCAAGCATCAATTCATTCTCACTTCCTCTCTTATTCATTTTTCCCCCCTCTCCTGCTCTTGAAGTTTAAATACAGAGGGTTGTTTTTACCAGTGTCTCCTCTATCCCGGCGAGTCCTTCGCTTTGCAGCTCGCAGAAAGGTATCAGGGGTGTGTGTATGTGTGTGATCATCTGAAAATGTTTTGATTACCGGTAGTAAGTGTTAATTTTGCGTTGATGACTATAATGGCTTTATGTGTGTTGTTAATGTATTTTTTCAAAAGTGACTAATTTTCTTTTTTTAACCTAGACAAACATTGGTGCATGATGTGTGTTTTCTTGTTTGCTCGAATAGCTGTGTGTTCGTGTGTGTATAAGTGCTTGAGTTACACAAGTGTGCCCAAGGATGTTTTAGGGAGTTTTGCGCTCTTGTTGGATTTGGGATTGGAGTGTTGATCCCTCAAGGGGTCGGTTTTGGAAACGGAAGCTCAGTTCAAAAGCTGGATTTGGATCCGTTGACAAAAGATTTTTGTCTGGCCTCTTTGTGCTAAGGTTTGCTTCAAGGGTTTAACAGAACATCAACATCAAAGAGCTTTTAGAGAAATTTCTTGCGTCATGAAATGCAAATAATGTTCAATATTGGGGTGAATCTTGTGAAAAATGTCAAGAGCATGTCATATTTAACCCCTAAATATAAAGAAAATAATAATAAATGAAAAATGTCATGGCTATTATTATTTATTTATTTTATTCTTATTTTATTTTTTGAGTTTGGTTGTAATTGTCATTATTTTCATTGACTCTTATATTGTAAAATATTAATGAGTATCATGCCTGGACAGTCATTTAAAAAAAAAAAATCGAAATATTTTTAATTGAAATAAAATAAATATAATTTAAATAGTTTGTTTTATATATTGAAAATAAATATAATATAAACACTTTTATTGAAATATTAGGCTTATAGATTATATAATTGTTCATTTTATTTTGTTAATTGATCCTTTATTTCGTACTTAAAAAAATAAAAAAAATTTAGCAGCATTTTTTAGGACCACTTTTGAGTTTATAATTCTCATTATTTTCATAGATAATTCTCATTTTGTAATGTATTAATGAGAATCATGCCCAGGCACAATAATAATAAAAAAAAAATCACATTTAAAATCAGAGTAAACAAATAAATATATAAATACATATAATCTTTATATAATTTTTTTTTGTTTTTTTGTTGATTTTGCGTGTTCATTTTTCATTTGTTTTATTTTTTTGGAGTGAGATATGAGCTAGACATGTTCTTGACTGGCTTTTTCTTTTTTTACCCATTGGTTAAATTTCATCTCAATAAAATGAACAGTCTGGATTTATTTGAAATCTATATACTATATAGATCTTCAGAAAGCATAGATAATATTTTTCTTAGTCACTGCACCATGTGGCTCAAGTGCTAAGAGGTGTGATAGAATATTCACAGGCGTCCGCTGAGGGAAGGGCGCAGTGTTTGGCATTCTGTCTATTTCTATTTCAGAGCCCTGCTGTGTCCTTGTTGTCTGAAGGTCGTGCGTCTGTTCCTCTGTCTTATCTCTCCTCATCACATCTTCTTCAGCCCTGCTGGCGTGAAACTAAAGTGAAGGATGTCCTTCAGTGACCATTTAGTTTCCCGGACCCTGTTCAGGACTCAAATGTTTGCGTGTTTTTATGTGCGCTGCTTATGCATGTGTTTCCATATGCACATGCATGTGTGAGTCTGTGTTTATGTGTGTGTTGCTGATGGAAGGTGTTCTCTGATTCATGAACGACAGCAAACTTTTCCGGATAGTCATCAGGGACTGGGCTGTCGGACGCCCAGTAGGCCGTAATGATTTTCTCTTGGGCTGCAGTGAGACAGGACAGCAGCGTCAGACAGATAGGGATTCAGGGGGTCAGCATCATGACCCCTACTGTTATCAGAGAGTGATGCCTGGCATGTATTTTTAGCTTGTGGAGTTTGCCCTCCACTGAGTCTCTGGCGATGGCACTAAGTGATATCTGAAGTGTAAGCATTTAAGCCGCTCTTGTCTTAAATGTATTGATGTGTGCCGATTTTGCTGACGGGGTGTTTTTATCTTAACTGGGCTTCTGATCTGCTAAGAACGGCGCACTAATATGCAAGCTATCAACTAAGAGCATCTGCAATCTTGACTTTTTTGATTTAATGTGGTTTATGTATAAAAGCCATGTCAAATCTGATTGCTTTAATAGTGAACGATCGATATGGGTTTTTCAATGGCCGATGCTGATTAAATGGTGGCAGCGTAATGCTGATACATGCATTATGCATACCCAAAATTGCTGAAATTAAAACACTTTTATATAATACATTTTATATAATATCCAATCAAAATTCACAAACTCAAGGGTGAACTGAGTGAAAACCATCAGAAATGTCTCAGTCATGTTGTAATTCAAAATCAATAGAGACACATAATAAATTATATTTAGCATATTTTAAGTAGCATTAAAACATTTTTGGATTGTCACGTTTTGTCATTTTCATGACAGTTACTCACTTTTTATAATTATCTATTTTAAAAAAGTCATTGGCAATAAAAAAAAATGTTTTTGCCTGAACAGGAAGATTGTTTACTGTCGTAAAATAATGGACATAAATAAAAAGGAAATAAGTCCTTTAAATAAAACAGGTTAAGTATAATAATCAATATTTTATTTTATTTTATTTTATTGCGTGAACAGGAGGATTATTGTTTACTGTCGTAAAATAATGGACATAAATAAAATGGAAATAAATAAGTCCTTTTAATTAAAACAGGCTTCATATAATAATCAATATTTACATTTTTTATTTTATTATTTTATTTTATTGCGTGAACAGGATGATTATTGTTTACGGTCTTAAAATAATGGACATAAATCAAATGGAAATGGAGTCCTTTAATTAAAACCGGCTTCGTATAATAATATTTTATTTTATTTTATTTTAATAAGACCCAAACATTTCATGATGTGAGATTCACCCTGTGATGTACTTTATTTAGCCACATAAACATTCAAATGACCTCATAATAACCATAACAAAACACTTTGATTTGTCTTTAGTTCTCTAAATGACCTTTAGAGATAAATTCTTCTTGATGTGCTTTATGTGCTGGTGTGTATTTATTTGTTCCTGTGTGTGTGTGTTTATGTGTGTTTTTTCCCTCCTTCTCCCTAGCCTCCAGTGTCTGTTCCACATCGGATTCGCTCAGCAAGCCGCACCAGTCGGGAAGGGAAGACTCTGTCAGAGATTAACTGTGAGTGTTTGTTGGATTTCTCCCCTGGGTAGACCTGACAGGTGCTCCTGCTCTCCTGAGCGTGGCTGAGTGAATTTCTCAGCTTCAGTTCTCTGTCTGCTGGAGTATACCACAAATTCTCTCTCATGATCTGTCTGTCAGTATCTGCTGGGGGATTTCTTTGGGTTCTGTAACATACCTACCAGACATTTATACTGACTTAAAAAAATCATATCATGAACACTCAAAAGCACACATTTCTTTATGTTCAGACTTCGACCAGTTATATCAATGAACTGACTGATTGTCAGTATTCACTCACCCTCATGTCATTCCAAACCCATATGCTGATATGTACAGAAATGCAGAAAAAGTAGAACTGTTGCTTTAAAAATGATTTGTTTTCTTACAGTCGGTCAGGTGAAGTTTGACCCTCCTTTAACAACAGAGACGAAACCGCATCATGAACCGGTGAGTGAGCTGCTCTTCGCTTTGGGGATTTCCTGCGATGGCAAACAATTCAACCAATCAGAGCACACTTTATGCTTCTTAGTTACATCTTATTAGCTCTGTTCCAAAACTTAATGAGCTGCCACCTGCTTACATAGGCAGCTTCCTTGTAAGGAATCGAATTAATTAAAAAGTTCTACACAGGCAGCAACTTAGTGCGCAACACAAACAGCTCAACTCACTATTGATTTCAGTAGAGTTTGGCATTAGCATGCTGCTAAGCTAATGGTGCGATGCTCTGTTAAGCATAAAAATACACACACACATTTATTATTAAATAATACTGAAATAATGTGATGGTCCTTTTGAATGAAATAATTTTAATTGCCTTTAATAAAAAAAAAAATTATTGCTTTTTTCCCTATCACATATTTTCGTAATAATCATACATTAGGTGTTATTCAAAAGCTTAAACACTCAAGATTCATCCTGTGAAAACTGTTTTTAAATTGGATGTTGCGTTACAATGGAAAAACTACTTTAAAACCTTTTAGAAGGCTCGATTTTAGTGATATCAATATAACTTGGTTAGACATGCCTTTGTTTTTCTAGTAATTTCCAGATTTCAATCATCAAATTATTTTGTAAAATATATATTTTGTATGAAATGTTTAGATCAGTACATTTGCTTTGAAGTAAACTTGAACTTATATAACTTTTGTACACTTTTTTTTAAGTGCTTTAATTTCTGCAAAAATGTTGTGTGACATCTTTAAAAAGAGACCAACCGTAGGTCTGTATTGCAATTATGAATTACAACCATTTAAATACAATATTAATAACAATAATAAATAATACATAATTTATTAATACAAATAATATAATAATATAAAATGTAAAAAAAAAACATACAAACTCAACACTCATAATTATTGTATACATTTATAAAAAAAAATATTAAAATGATTTTAAAAATGATTCACTTTAGTACTTAAGGGAAAACATGTTTATGTTTAAACTATATTTTTTGCCAGTGTGTTCTGGGATTGGCTTCTCAATGAAGAATATATGAGATGCCGGTGTTGGGTTCGTGCCCATGATCCCTCCATAGGGAGCTAACTAGGTTTTGGAACAGAGCAAATGTGAAACCACGTCAAGCTTAATTTGAAATCACTCTGCCTGTCTAGCTGTTCACGAAGCTCATAACCAAGTTTAGCGAACACTCCCAAATGATTTTTCCTATAAGCTGACACTTACTATTATGTAATATTTTCCTCACGTACACCTCAATCCCCAGCTCGTCTACTGACAGTGGCTTGTTTTCTCTCACACCATGTTTGACTGTTGTGCATTTGAGACGTCTGTCTCGCACTCTCACCACCGCGATAATTGAAAGGTTAGATGCAGCTTTCCGTGGCATCTAATCAATACGACTTCCTTTAAGCGCTGCAGAAAAATGCAGCGTTGACTCATCTTTGTCTCATTCGAGCACTCACTGTTTCTCATGTTGTAACTGGATTTGTCATCCTTTCATAAACCAGATCATTTTTAACAGCAGGACATCAAATTAATGTCGATTCCCATTGTAGCTTCATGCTTCTGATGTCATCTTCTGAATGTAACCTCACATCTGAAGAACCTCACTTCCCCCACGCTTTGATTTTCTTTTGATTTCCTGGTTGTCACATCAAGTTGTTCTGCTGTTTCTAAAGAAGCAGTACATAATTGCTGCAACTGGTGGGTTGTTAAGGTTTTTAAAACGTGAAACATTTCAAACAAATTCAAGTGATAACATTTCTATAATGTCACTACCTATATATATATATATATAACTACATAAGTTTATTCCTGTGATGCAAAGCAGCCATTACTTCAGTCTTCAGTCACATGATCCTTTAGAAATCATTCTAATATGCTGATTTCGTGCTCAACAAACATTTCTTATTATTATCGTGCTGCTTAATATTTTTATGGACATCGTGTTGATTTTTTTTTTTCATGATTCTTAAAAGAACAGCATTTATTTGAAAGAGAAATCTATTGTAACAATGAACAGTAAAAGTCTTTGCTGTCACTTTTGTTTAATTTGTGGGGGTGGTGATGGCGCAGTGGATAAGACACATGCCTTTGGTGTGAGAGACCTGGGTTCGAATCCACTGTGAGACACCAATGTGTCCCTGAGCAAGACACTTAACCCCTAGTTGCTCCAGAGGCGTGCGACCTCTGAAATATAGCAATTGTAAGTCGCTTTGGATAAAAGCGTCAGCTAAATGAATAAATGTAAATTTAATTTAATGCATTCCTGCTGTAATAGTAAAAGAGCAGAATTATAACAAACATTACAACTTCTGTGAACCAAATACCACAACACCACTTTTCAGCAGTTATGGACTGTTCATTTAATCCACAGACCTGTTTAAAGGTCTATTCTGGTTGACATGGTCTTTGCAAGCACATCTTCACCCAGCAACCACCCCAACCGCCCATAACCCATCAATTATTGTTTCTGTGAAACCACATGGGCGTCACGTGTGTGTGATTAACTGAAGTTTCTTGGTCCTTCTACTAAACAGCCCGACACTGACGATTTTTTGGACTGTGCCGAAGAAATATACTACACTGCAAGATCTAATCTGGTATTTTTTTGTATTTTACTCTGTCTTTGTCTTCGCGTCCCCTATCTTTTTTTTAATTGTCTTTTTCGTCGCATCTTGTCCGCTTCGCAGCGCTTGTGTAGTGAACTCATCCTCCCATATGTGACTTTCATATCTTTTGTTCATTTCATTCATTCATTCTGCTGCCTTATCATATTTAGATCACGACGGTCTGTGTCTTCAGCTTGCCTGTATATACTTGCCTTTGTCTGTCATGCCAAATCTCTGAATCCATTTTATTTTGGTATTTCAGCCTCTAGCTTTATTAAAGACACGTCCCTCAAAGTCGATACATTGCTGCACTTTTCAGTAATCAAAGGCACTTTGAAATTGCAAAGCAAAGCATTTTGTGTAGTCGAGTCCTCTGAGGGGCTTTATTTTTAGGGCTTGTCACAATCACACACATCTTGAAAGCGAGCAACAGTGAAGGAGAGGGAACGGAGAGAGAGAGATTAGGGTTAGACAGATGGAATGGATGTTGAGTGGGGCGGAGAAGGCGAACAAATGGGGGAAAACAAGAAAAGAGAGAGAGAGAGGGAAAAAAAGAGTCTGAAGTGCCTGTGCGTGTCCCTCAGGGACGGTTAAACCGAAGTGCTCTGCAGGTCTGTGAGCGAGGGGGGAAACATTGCCTCAGCAAGCAAAGCTTTGCGCAACAAACCCAGCTCACACGGTCTGTTTGAGGTATCAGCTAATTCTGCAGCAGGGACACAACCTCACCCCTCCGTTTCAACACCAAGTTATTGTGAACACCTACCGTGCTCAATAATAATTGCGTACTGAAATCCAATTGGCCCCTTTGCCCCACTCTGTTTGCATACTGAATTGTGATTCGTCTTTGTATGCATCTATTTAGCTGCCTTTAAACTGCAAAGATGGTGTTGCATTGTCTGTTGGTTCTTATACACAGCTGTCATAAGTGCCATTACATTGGCTCTATAGAGGTTCTAATGCATAATTTCATAATATCTAACAATTACTTTCATGATATTCACAATATCATAAAAGTCTAAACCGTCTGATATAAATGATTTTTAAGTTAACAGTTAAATTGGATATATCATGTATATCAGTTTTAGAACAAAATTCATTTGGCTTCTCGAACTAGATGGCAAGATACTTATGACACATCATAAAAGTCTAAACCATCTGATATTAATGATTTTTAAGTTAACAATTATATTGGATTATGAATATTGTGGATTAAAATCTTTTGATTCACAATGTTACATGCACAAACTTGATTTGTCATTTACAAGTTGGTAAATTATATTTTGTGTGTGTGTGTGTATAAATACATAATAGTTTTAGAACAAAATTCACATGGCTTCTCGAACTAAATGGATACTAGATTCTTATGACACTGAATTAATTTAGTATACATTTTCTAACTCATCCTACTTAGGGTTGTGGATACTACTTTTGTCCTTTTGGTTTTTTATTTTAGTGACTGGGAAATATTGAAGAATGATGTTGCATAGTTTGCCAAGTTTTAAAAGCATCACAGGGTTATGCCTGTGCAAAGAAACGTTTTCCCCCTTTTTCATCTTTTTGCGTTTTTTGAGGCTTTTTTTGAGTGACACATCCATCTGGTCTGAAGCCCACGCACTGAGGCGGCACAGCGAATCACATGCTTGGAATCGGTGTCTTTGACTGCGTATGAAGAAACCAAAAGGAGAGAGATGAAAGAAGGCGGTGACAGAAGCGGTGAAGCGGATAGTCTGGGATGTTCTGTTAGCTTTTACTCTTCCATCCTTTCTCTCTCCATCACTCTTTCCGAAAAGCCTCCCATCAGCAGAAAGGCAGCCAGCGAATAAGGATATGACAGTTTGCTGCGTAAAGGAAATTTGGTTTGTTAATCTGCAGGGCAAAATCAATGAGGTTTTGCATGGCTGAAAAGCTGTATTCCAGAGAGAGAGAGAGAGAGAGTAAGAGGGGGAAATGAGAGAGAGCTGTGGAAGTAGCAAAAGGGAGTGAAATAAAGAAAGAAAGAGTTTGAGGGAGATAAGGTTCTCAGGTTTAATCAGTGACCTGATTGTTATAGCAAAATCTTCTTGCCAGAATATCTCCTCTAATGGATGAAGCACTGTAGCCAACTTCCCTAAAGAAATAAGACAGCGTTTCCCTTAAAGGGATATTCCAGATTTTTTAAGACCTGATGTCTATTTACCACATCTGTGACATCACAGACTTGTCTCGCTGCCCTATCAGACAATGACTTTGCAGGCAGCTAAGCGGTTTAATGATCTACAACAACATAGAGCAAGCTTTGGTGATAACTAAGCAAATATTTAATAACCACAATAGTAATTAATCGCTAGAAATGACATCAAAAGTGGAAAACGTTGGTCAAAAGTGTACATTTACACACCTACCACAACTTTCAGGTGCCATCTTTATTTTTTAGCTTAACCGTCACAGAATGAAATGCACAGGATTGTGGGATATCAAAAATTTATCAGATGAAAGTATCTCAGGAAGTGAAGCTAATGTTGGATTCGGACATGTTTTGATGCTTTCCTACTTTTGAACTACCACTCCTAGCATTGTGACTGCTCCAGTGCATATATTGGGTATAAATGTCTGAGATCACTTAGTCAGAATGGCTCTATTTTTCATTTCATTTTCCTTACAATTTTAACCAATGATATGATCAGAATAACAAATTAATTGAATTGGCATCGAAATTTAATAATAAAAACAATATTATACTTTAATTTAACAATAATATTAATAATTCTTTTTATTTGTAAATATATTATATTTAAAATAAAATGTTAAAATTGTCTATTTTAGGTGGAACTATTTTTCTGGTTTGAATAACATTGGGTTATTTGTTACAGATATAGGTGCGGATCACATTCCTACAATCTCCTTTCTGGTATTCTCATGTGGATACCAAGATAAATGAAACTTGTTTATTTTTATTTTTTTTAGTTGTTCATGACGAAAATTGCATTAGTTTCCTGGCTAGCTTCCATTATAAGATTACATTATTTTCTGTAAACAGGTTTCCTCTACGGAGGGGTCAGTTGAAATTGTTGTTGTAATGGACAGCATGCCATCAGGTTAACAACGACGTTTTATTCCTGAAATATTCCTCACGTTGCAAGTTTTTCAGTGCCTAAGGTATTTAATAGATACTTCCTTTTATGATTCTATTAAGTCATGAACACAAAGTTATTTGAAGTCATTGCCTGCTTGAATGATCATATTGGTGAGTGGGAGGAGAGATAGCACATGGCCCAGTCCACCCACAATGCTCTAATTAGGAGGACATTGTGAGCAATATGAATTTAATTCCTTTCCAGCTATCTTGTGCAATCAACATTTCTAATTGCATTTCATCACAAAAAGAGAGAACTAAAGTTTTTCAGTTTTGTCTATCTAGGGATCCAACCTGTTAATCTCCCACGTTTTTTTGACTCTTTACACTCTAATAATGTGATTAATGTTTGTTAAATTGTACTAAAATTATTTTAAACCTGAAAAGGATAGTTCACCCAAAAATGAAAATTCTGCCATCATTTTCTCATCATTGTGTCATTTAGAATCCGTATGACTTAAAGTCTTTGACTTTCACTGAATTATAAAAGCATTCTTAAAATTAATTAATTAAAACTAATTAAAAAAGATAATCGTGGCAAGATGTGTGCTTGCTTGCTGATGTAGAGCTAATACACTGTAGATTAATGCTCATCTCATCATCTCTTCCATCGTTTTACTCACTAATATACCTTATATGTGTAAAAGCATTATGAAACTGCATGTGGGGATTAATAATAATAAACAATACTAATTACGAACAAAGAGTGACCTAGAGTTAATAATTCCTGAATCTAATGTCAACGGCATTTCATGCTGGTCATATTATTCATGTTCTCTTTTCATGCATCTTTATGAAGCTCTGTGTAAACACGCCTGCATTGAATTTAAGCATAAGATGAAGATATACTATATATGACTTTTTTTCTTTTTTCCGCAGGATTTACAAATGGATTATGAGCAAGGATCCCCTAAAGGCTCCATCATGGGAGGAAATAAGTAAGTTTCAGAACATGTCACTGTTTTATATTAATAAAAACAAAGCTTTACTGCTGCTGCTGCAAAAAAAGGATTCCAACAATACAAATTAAATGTACCAATTATAAATATCTCTGTGTATTTGACATTCCCAAGAGAGTTCATTCACAGTTCAAAGACACATGCAGGGTTTGTTCATGATGCATGTGTATTTGTCCGTACAATCTATTTATCTCACACCTGACATTGCTGTCTCACTAGTGTGACACTTTGTTTCAGGTGGCTTGCGTATGATCTCTTTGACTGTCATTCTTTTAAAATGTACACACCCTGCGCATTGTTGACTGTCTTTGCCATATAGTGAACAGAAGGTCGAGTACACCAGATGGAGTGGCAGTGAAACCGTTCCCTCTGTGTTTGTGTGAGCGCCTTTGCGTGTGCTCTGAGGTGTTGCTCTCAGCTCTCGTCAACAGATGGGTCCCGAGCACTTCGAGAGACACCCCCTCAGCGTCACAATTCCCCGTATAGTCAGCTCTCGTTTAGTCAGCTCCATGCATGGCTGCAGTAATCAGCCTCTGTTTGGTTAATGATGGAAACTATAACTAGAATAGTGGAATATGATTGTCGGGATGAATGGTCCAGGAGCCTGTGCGCTCTTGGTTATTGAATACAATAAAACGAGAAGGCCACTCTTGGCTCCGAGGTAGAGAGACATGACATAATGACATAAATAACACATGTTGCCATATTAATTTATTTATTTATTTTAAAAGTGGTTGTGCTGTATTATATTTTAAAAGTGCACCGTACTTCAAAATCATAAATATAAAGCACACATTTTAATCAAAATTATTTTAAGGGTCCAATAAATCATCCAATACTGGAGCAGTTTAATAATGACACTCACCATTGAACCGTTATACTGCCACCTACTGGTGTGGAGGAGAGATCGTGCAAAATCCACAACAGATTTTGGGTAACTGGTACTGTTGTAGGAATTCTGCATTCACAGAAATATTTTTTTATTCTAAAAGTGCCTGATAATTGGGGAGTACTGAGATTGAAGTGAGTAGTGTACAGTTGGTAATTCAATTTCAAAATGGCAACCACCATGAGGGGGGACCTACCTTATATACAGTAGTCAACATTTGAAATGGATAATTTGGGTGGCTGTGGTCTATATTGCTATCATGTCTTTCAGTGATTTTACAAAAACTGCAAAATGTGGCATATTCATTCACTATTTAAATGTTATAGTTTCCATCGGGTTACATTGATAGAATGTTGAGCCTTCACGATGTAATGACGTCATCGTTATATTTGCATACCGAATTGGGTAACACTTTACTTGAAGGGGTGTGCATAAGACTGACATGACACCTTCATAATCATGACATGACACATGTTATGAATACGAAGGAAGTTGTATGCATGTTTATGACCACTGTCATTAAGTGTCATCCGCTCAGTTATGACATTTTTAATGCAAATAAGACATTGTTTGAAATGTCTTTGTTATGACACCTTGACATAAACAAATACATCATAACCTGTCAGTGTCTTTGTCATGACAACTTGACATTACTAAGACAACACAACCTGTCATAAACATGACCTAGCAGATTAATTATCAACCTTAAGAAACCACTTAGCTTTATTGGTGAAAATTACATTAAACTGTCATGTGTTTGGTTTTGACATTGGCTGTCATGAAGCCATTATAACTTTTTAATGACAAATTCAATGTGTACCACTGTAGTTGAGGTCATGAAAAATATTCATGACACAGTTATAATGGACTGATGACAGCCAGTGTCAAAACCAACCACACGACAGTTTAATTTAATTTAATGTCAAGTTGTCATGACAAAGACACTGACAGGTTATGATGTTATGGTTTATGTCAAGGTGTCATAACAAAGACATCTTAAACAATGTCATATTTGCATTCAAAATGTCATTATTGAGCGAAAGACACTTAATGACAGTTGTCATAAACATGCATAAACCCTACTTCATATTCATGACATATGTCATGTCATGATTATGAAGGTGTCATGTCAGTCTTATGCACACCCCTTCAAGTAAAGTGTTACCCTGAATTGCAATCGGATCTTCTTTCTTATACATCTACAAACTGAATTGTGATTAGTCAGTTGTTCCTTGTATGCAGCCGTAAGACATGCAGTGTGTTTTCTCTGATGCAGCATTTTTTGATGCATAAACGAAACCTAAAACTGCTTTGGCCACCTTGTGTGAACTGGTATTTTCTTGAGGAAATGTGAAGCTAGTTTTTATCTTCTGATTTTTTTTTTCTGTTATTTTAAATACCTTTTAGACCAGAAAACCTTACTGTTCAATAATCGAAGCGCAGTGTAGATAAACAACTTTTGAACAGGGGTTCTAGACGGTCGGAAGCAGACATTCTCTTAAAATTTAACAACCAAGCATTGGACAGTTTCCCAGTGTCATCAGAGACAATTTAGCAGTAAATGCCTGTTTATTTAGCCCTAAATCAATGAAAGCTAATGGATCCCTTGATGTGTTATAAAACTGTTCATCATGTGTTTCCACATGCTCTTTGCACTGAAAGAATCACCTGTTACTTACCATCTTTCATTTGCTAAATTCTCTCTTTACAGGAGCCTCTTGAAATCTGTTGAAGAAGAGCTGCACCAGAGGTATGATGCCATGGCTTTGTTTGTGTCCTTCACTCATGTGCTCTCTCATAGCTCTCTCTTTTCTTTGGCTTCCTCCCCTCTCTCTCTCTCTCTCTCTCTCTCTCTCTCTCTCTCTCTCTCTCTCTCTCTCTCTCTCTCTCTCTCTCTCTCTCTCTCTCTCTCTCTCTCTCTCTCTCTCTCTCTCCATATTTTTGCTGCTATGTCAAACTCTACCCATGCATCTCTCTCTCTCTCTCTCTCTCTTTCTCTCTCTCTCTCTTGCTCTCACTCTCTCGCTTTCTCTCTCTGCATAGCTGGTTTTTCATCTGATCAATATTTGATGTGACCTAACCTTGCCCTTTTGTGCTTGTCCGAGTGGAACCAAAGGCTGATTTGCTTGGCAATGCTTTGTTGGAGATCTGTTATTTTTGCCACAGTATTAGTTTTCCATTCCTCAGGGGGAAATTAACCAGTTAGTCCCTCTAAATGAAATTTACTCGAGATGCATTTCTAGATAGATCTTTGGGATTGTCCTGTCATTAATTTGTCACACTTTGATTTTAGAGTCCATCTTTAAAGGGAATGTCACTGAATCATCAGACTGATTATTATCCTACCAAAATGTTTACTTTGCAATAGTGATGCATTCTTGTGTTCAAAAACAATGGAACATCTTGAGGCACGAAAATGTAACATTCTTTTCATGGTGTCTTAAAAACATGGCGCTCATAGCATGAGATGCTGAAAAAACAGTAAGATGGATCACAAAGGTCACATAAAGAGTCTGTTTAGTGCATATTTATGTAGACTAGAATTTAAAAACTACACGGGATACCCTATGTGAATGGCCCATTAGTGTTTAATCTTACCCATTGGAAGTCGAACAGTGTTGCTTCAAATTGATAATCTTCATTGAATGAGCGCCACAACCTTCTCAATCCTCATTAGGGGGCATGAGGCTCATTTGGAGGATGATGATGAGGGTGAAGATGATGGTGATGATCATGATGATGAATTGCAACAGTAAGTTCTTCTGATTCTATAGCCAATTTCTCCCTGCTGCTCCAGGATAAAACACTTCACGATCATGATGCACTGGCAACTTTTTGAGGCAAGCACATGATATATGTAATCCTTTGTGACTCAAATTTTGATGACTTTTAAAATCAAATACTGTTTTTCAATGTCTCCTGAAAATGTTGCCAGTATATCATGGCCTTTTTAGTTCCATGGGAGTCATTCTTTCATCTGTTTTCTTTTCTTACTCGACAGACCATCTCTCTTTCCCTTTATTTAGCAATGCCATGGCTAGCAGACGTTCAAGAATGTTGTGGTTCATCCAACTGCTACTTTAGCCTTATTATAAGTTCAAATGCAAATGAACTACTATCACGACACTCATAGTGCACTCTCTTAGTGACGACAAGCTTTCTAATACAAATGTTATTATTTATTCATCATCATGTTCCAAACCTAATTGCTTTTATATTAGTGACCACCAAACAAATTCCAAAAAGCAACATGCAAGTAGTCGATAACACTTTTGCGCTGTATTTCATTTTTCAAAAGTTTTAGTGTCACGAAAAAAAAAGAACAAAAGCATGCATGTTTGAAATGACGTGAGCTTGAGTAAATAATAACAGAATTTTCATTAGAGTGAATTATTCCTGGTGCATTTGATTGCATGCGTATTTGTTGTTTGTTTCCTGTCTTTTATTGAACCCCTGTTTGTCCAGTGTCAGATGAAACCAAGCACAGAGGTCCATTAACATCCTGTTAATGCCCTCAAATTATGTTCGTCAGTTGAAGTATGATTAACATAAATAGGTAGCATTGTGAGTGTGACTCAGCTAATATGATGTCTGATTTGTCTCAGCACGAAAAACTCTACCATGAGGCCTAAGGTCCCCCCACCACTTCCTCCCAAGGTAAATATCCAAACAAGCTATATGGTATAACATGTTTTTAGTAAACCTTTTTAGTGTTGAAAACTTGCACTACTGTTCAATGATTTGGGGATTTTTCTTTTTCTCTTTTTCTCTTTTTTTTTTTTCGTCAAAGAAATCATTACTTTTGTTCAGCATTAAAGGTGCAGTGTGTATTTTTTAGCGGCATCTAGCGGTTCGGTTGCGAGTTGCACTGCTCACCCCTCCCTTTCGAAGAAGCTACGGTGGCTAAAACGGGACAAACATATCGTCGTCCGAGACAGCAGAGAATAGCCAGAGTAAGCCAATAGTGTGTAACATTGTCACTGTTTCTGTACCACAGTCCATTATAAACCACATCATGGATAAAGTTTACAAAGCCATAGTCAGGTGAGGATCAAGGGTCTTAATATATAATATAATAATAGTAATCAGCTGATTGTCTCACGAACGTAACCAGCACATTCTCCCCACATAACAAACCCATAATACAGCGAGGGAGAAGAACCACATGAAACTATGCAACTATATATTTTTTCTAACAGGGTAGTAAAAGTTTAGCTGGCTAATATGAGCTGTTACTGTGACTGAGCTCGTTAAAGCGTAAAGCCTTGTTTAAACTCGCGTCCGCATGAGCCCAAAGGTGCGCGTGGCAAAAATGACATGATTGTAACAGCGCGCGCGCCTCCGCATCCCCTAGACACCATTTACTACACACAATAGGCTTTTTTTCTCTGATTTTGAAAACTCTTCGCAATCGACTTAAAATGCTTCCAAGATTGACTTGTCGACCGCGATCGACGGGTTGGTGATTCCTGTAACTGTTTTACCATCAATGACAAGAGTAGCTACTAATCAGCTGTCTCACGAACGTAACCAGCACATTTATCCCCACATAGCAAAGCCATAACACAGCGAGGGAGAAGAACTAAGTTACATGAAACAATCCAAGTACATATTTTACACCACTGACAAGGGAAAAGTCACTACTCACGGTGTTTATGGCTAGCTTATACACTCACCTAAAGGATTATTAGGAACACCTGTTCAATTTCTCATTAATGCAATTATCTAATCAACCAATCACATGGCAGTTGCTTCAATGCATTTAGGGGTGTGGTCCTGGTCAAGACAATCTCCTGAACTCCAAACTGAATGTCAGAATGGGAAAGAAAGGTGATTTAAGCAATTTTGAGCGTGGCATGGTTGTTGGTGCCAGACGGGCCGGTCTGAGTATTTCACAATCTGCTCAGTTACTGGGATTTTCACGCACAACCATTTCTAGGGTTTACAAAGAATGGTGTGAAAAGGGAAAAACATTCAGTATGCGGCAGTCCTGTGGGCGAAAATGCCTTGTTGATGCTAGAGGTCAGAGGAGAATGGGCCGACTGATTCAAGCTGATAGAAGAGCAACTTTGACTGAAATAACCACTCGTTACAACCGAGGTATGCAGCAATGCATTTGTGAAGCCACAACACACACAACCTTGAGGCGGATGGGCTACAACAGCAGAAGACCCCACCGGGTACCACTCATCTCCACTACAAATAGGAAAAAGAGGCTACAATTTGCAAGAGCTCACCAAAATTGGACAGTTGAAGACTGGAAAAATGTTGCCTGGTCTGATGAGTCTCGATTTCTGTTGAGACATTCAGATGGTAGAGTCAGAATTTGGCGTAAACAGAATGAGAACATGGATCCATCATGCCTTGTTACCACTGTGCAGGCTGGTGGTGGTGGTGTAATGGTGTGGGGGATGTTTTCTTGGTACACTTTTGGCCCCTTAGTGCCAATTGGGCATCGTTTAAATGCCACGGCCTACCTGAGCATTGTTTCTGACCATGTCCATCCCTTTATGGCCACCATGTACCCATCCTCTGATGGCTACTTCCAGCAGGATAATGCACCATGTCACAAAGCTCGAATCATTTCAAATTGGTTTCTTGAACATGACAATGAGTTCACTGTACTAAAATGGCCCCCTTGGTCACCAGATCTCAACCCAATAGAGCATTTTTGGGATGTGGTGGAACGGGAGCTTCGTGCCCTGGATGTGCATCCCACAAATCTCCATCAACTGCAAGATGCTATCCTATCAATATGGGCCAACATTTCTAAATAATGCTTTCAGCACCTTGTTGAATCAATGCCACGCAGAATTAAGGCAGTTCTGAAAGCGAAAGGGGGTCAAACACAGTATTAGTATGGTGTTCCTAATAATACTTTAGGTGAGTGTAGCTTTCTGCTGCTTCTCTTTCAAGGTAGTGACGAAACGCGCTCTGTAGAGTTGTTTGTTCGCTGTCGGCTACGGTAGAAACATGACGTCACAATATGTCGACCTTCATAGAAGGGGGTGCCCGCGGTTATGTAGATATAAATGTCTCATTCTAAGGTAATAAAAACATTACGGTTTATTAAGTAAGTTCTTTATACAACACTGAAAACATAGTTATGGATGTCATATTGCATTTCTGTTAATAGACACTCAACATTTTTACACATTGCACCTTAAAATCGAGCAAGAGTGACAAAAGACTTTTACATTGTTTTGAACTTTCTATTTATCAAAGAATCCTGAAAAAAATATTATCTCACAAATATGAAGCAGCACAACTGTTTACAACATTGATAATAATTAGAAATTGTTCTTGAGCACCAAATGAGCATTTTTCAGAATGATTTCTGAAGGATCATGTGACACTGAAGACTGGAGTAATGATGCTGAAAATTCAGCTTTGCCATAACAGGAATAAATTACACTTTAAAATATATTAAACTAGAAAACAGTTATTTTAAATTGTAATAATAATTGACAATATTAATGTTTTTTCTGTGTTTTTGATCAAATAAATATAGCCTTGTTGAGCATAAGAGAGATATTTTTAAAACATTTAAAAAATCTTTCCCACCCCAAACCATTGAAAGGTAGTGTATGTTCAGGTGTTGTTTTGATTTAGCAGTTTTATTTTGAGCAACCAAGTCTTTCTTTTTCCTTGAAGCAAGCTTATCGGAAATCAGTGAACAGCTTCTACAGTTTTTTTTAACATCTACTTTTTTTAGTAATCGCAGTATTGATCCCACTGAAGCCGGTAGCATGCTGCTAATTTTGTTCTGTCATTTTCCAGCCAAAGCCCAGTCCCGGACCTCATCAAAGCTCCTCAGGCGATCATGACGGTAACCAGGGCACTATAAAGCGCTGTCCGGAGCCCGAAAGCCCGGCTCGATCATCCACCAACGTACCCCCTCGACCTCCGCCGCCTCGACTGCCAGCAAACAAGCTCAGCAGTTTAGGTAATGAGACCAGTCGGGAAGAACTTGACCCGTGGGAAGCCCAGGGGGATGCTGGGATATGTAGTCAGTTCGACGAGAGTCTGCAGGTCTCGTTTGACGACGAGGAAGATCACGATGAGGAAGGAGACAGTAAGACAGGCCCCTCCCGTATTGAATTCAACTCTCCCCTATAAACGTAGTTCAACCCCAGTCACTAAACCTGTCTCTAAACCGTCCCATTGTTAGTCCCTTTAGTGAGCCAGTAGTGAGATTACATGTCATCTCTCATCCCTCTCTAAGAGAAATGCCGTCAATGGTGTTGGCATGTGAAAATGTCACACACCCACTGGAAGACATCATGAATCACCCACTCCACCCTTGTAATCTTTTCCTTGTCTAATTATTGTTCTCCTGTCAGTCATTGTTGCAGTCATCCTTTTTGATTCATTACACTTGTCTTTGCATTGTATTATAGTATGGTTGCTGCAAATTGCAGCGGTAGCTTAGTAATTACGAAACGTTCGATCGTAATGCTAAACTTCTTTGTGAATGTACATTCAAAGCACACTTTCTTTACATAATGTGCTCTGTGTGCATCTCTAGCTGGATACCTATTTTAAGGAACATAGCTTTTAGGATTTATAAACAGAAACTAAATTGTGTACTATATCTTTTCTTACATACCCACAGGTAATGGAATTAGCCCATCTGAACACTCGCCCTCAACGGAGACACAGTCCACAATGCCCCCTGCTGTTCCTGGAACGAAGGACAAGAAAGATTTTCTAGTATGGCTCGGTTCCATTGCATTTAGTGATTCTTGCAACACTTATGGTTTCTGGATAATGAATCTTTGACATGTTTGTGTATGTTATATATATATATATATATATATATATATATATATATATATATATATATATTAGGGCTGTCAAATGATTAATCACGATTAATCACATCCAAAATAAAAGTTTTTTTTACATAATATATGTGGGTGCACTGTGTATAATTATTTTGTATATATATATATATATAAATACACACACATGCATGTATATTTAAGAAAAAAATATTACTTATATAAAAAATATTTATATTTATATATAATATAAATTATATATAAATCTATATACAGTATATACATGAAAATATTTCTTAAATATATACAAGCATGTGTGTGTATTTATATATATAAAATAATTATACACAGTGCACCCACATATATTATGTAAAAAAAACTTTTATTTTGGATGTGATTAATCACGATTAATCATTTGACAGCCCTAATATATATATATATATAGGTCACGAGATATAATGATATTTAAGATCTTTAATGATCAGGTCTTTAAAGAAATTAAATTATTTAATTATTTAATAATAACAAATCTTTGATATGTTTACATATGTTGTTGTAATGTGTGTGTGTGTGTGTGTGTGTGTGTGCGTGTAATATTATTACAAATAATTATATTGTTATTTTAATATATAGATATATGCATTGTGTATATATATATACAGTACCTGTCAAAAGTTTGAAAGTTTTTTTTATGTTTATGAAAGGGGTCTCTTATGCTCACCAAGTCTGCAATTATTTAATAAAAAATACAGTAAAAACAGTCATATTAAAAGTATTAATTTCTCTCTCTCTTTTTAATAGTTTTCAACATTGATAATGATAAAAAGCAGCAAATCAACATATTAGAATGATTTCTGAAGGATCATGTGACATTGAAGACTGGAGTATTGATGCTGGAAATCCAGGACTAAATTAAATTTTTAAATTGATAAAAATAGAAAACAATTATTTTACATTGTAATAATATTTCACAATATTACTGTTTACACTGTATTTTCGGTGAAATAATTGCAGACTTGGTGAGCATAAGAGACCTCTTTCAAAAACATACCGGTAAAACAAATTTATGTTTCAAAACTCTTGACAGGAACTATATATATATATATAATCTACTTACATTCTCTTATTTTGCTTCAATTGTATTTGTTTTCCCTGCAGAAACCCATCAGCAATGGTCTCCCTCCAACTCCAAAGGTTCATGTAAGTGGACATCATAGACTGCAGATCTATGGCACTGTATTGGGACTCAAGCACTTGCCATGTATTCTTATTTAAATGAATGCATGTTACCTTTTTGATGTGTTTGTTTTCTTGGATATAAACCTTTTGAACTGTGATTAATTTGGCTGCATCTGAGTTCTCCATTTGCGCTTTATTCTCATATCCAGATGGGAGCATGTTTCTCTAAAGTCTTTAATGGCTGTCCATTAAAAATACATTGTGCTACCTCATGGATCAATCCAGACACACGAGGTGAGCTCAGTTAATATGTCTCAGTTAGAATCTGGCTTACCAGAAATATTAATATTTCATGGTACGTTATTATATCTATTTTGCCTACATAAGCATTTTCTAATATCTCCACTGAAAAAGTCGTTTTTTTCTTTATGCATTTCAGACCAGTATCTGATATTTGGAGCAGAAGAAGGCATCTACACCTTAAACCTTAATGAGCTGCACGAGACGTCCATGGAGCAGGTACGATGCTACTTTTCAGGCATTTGCAAACAAATTTTGGAAAACGAATTTGTGTGATGTATATCCTTGTGTTATCTGAGTGTGGCGTGCTTCTTCAGTCAGTCGTGTTTGTTTTGTGCTAAAGCTATTTTTGTGTCACTCTCAGCTTTTCCCCAGGAGATGTACTTGGCTGTATGTCATGAGCAACAGCCTGCTATCAATATCCGGTAAGCTGTGCTTTAAAAAAGATCAGGTTTAGCTTTTCAAATTACCGTACAAATTATTCTGAATGAGGTTTTTTTTTCTTTTTTCTTTTTTACAATTGCTAGAATATTTAAATTTTTCGGGTCACACTTTACTTTATAAGATGGAACTGCTTGTAATGTGATAATACTAGAATAATTAACTATAGTAACATGCCATATGTCAAGTGTTACCTGATATTGTCCTGTTTCCCTGTTTTTGAATAATGAAATTGTGTTTCCGCAGGAAAAGCATGTCACCTGTACTCTCACAGTCTGAGTGGCCTGTTTGAGCATGCTCGACATATGCAGAAACTCCCTGTTGCCATACCAACATACAGATTTCCTGACAAAATGATCCCCAGGTAAAGGTTCAGATCTCTGTGTGTGTATAAGGATGTGACCAAAATGTGTATTTTTCATTCTATGTTTGTATTTGTATCCCAGGAAATTCTCAGTGTCCAACAAGATCCCTGAAACAAAAGGGTGTCAAAAGTGCTGTGTAGGTAAGCAGATCCTGTACCTTTCTTCCTTCCTTTATTTCTGAATTCAGTAACATATATACTTTGGATGATGTCAAGCATATAATTCAGATGTCTTTAAATTCCCCCTATTATGCTTATTCAGATATTACCTTTCATGCAGTGTGTAATATAGCTGTTTGTGAGTGTAAATGGTCTGCAAGGTTGCAAAGATCAAAGTGCACGACAAATAAAGTTATTGTCTCCCATAAGAAAGAACTGATTCTGAACTGCCTGAAACAAGTCGTCAGTTCTACGTAGGTTTGTAACAGATTTCCATAATGCCAGCCTTTGGTCTTCATTGACTGCCTGCGAACAGCGTCTACTTCGACCTGCCCTCAAACACTGTATTTGTAACTGAGGTCTGGAAGAGTTTGGATCGTGTTGTCGACATGTCGAGAAGACGCTGTGTTCTGCTCTGCGAAAGCAAATCCACTTTGCATGCCTTTTTAAATGAGGACTCGCGCTTGAATTGATACAGTAAAACTGACGCCATAGTTACCGTTCGTATGTATATTATGAGAAAATGTAACTGTTTTTGAGCTTGGATGCTTGTAAACCTATTGTAGGAGTCCTCCTAAACAAAATTAGGAACCTTTAAAATAGCATAATAGGGGCACTTTAAGGAAAATATAATGAAATAGACTTTATTTAAGGTATTCTACAGTATTTTGTTTCCATATGTTGTCTTGTTTATTCTCAGTGAGGAATCCTTATACTGGTCACAAGTACCTGTGCGGTGCGTTTCAGTCCAGTATTGTCCTTTTTGAGTGGGTGGAGTCCATGCAGAAATTCATGTTGGTCAAGGTGAGCCCAGTGTCACTGGTTCCCATCGCCAAAACAATGTTACAGGGTGATCTGCAGATTAGCATCACACTAAAATCCATGGAAAAAGGGTTGACAACTCAAAGTGGTGGAAAGAAATATAATGCAGGATTAGCTATTAATGTTTCCTTTAAGCTTTTAAAAATTGCTGATCTTCTACTTAAGACTTGAGGGTTAAAATTGCTTTACTTGGCATATTCACATGCAGGCTGTTCCAAATTAAGCACTGACTCATTCCCTGCAGAGCATAGACTTCCCCCTGCCGTGTCCGCTGGAGGTGTTTGAGATGCTGGTGGTTCCAGAGCATCAGTATCCTCTCATTTGCATAGCTGTGAGCAAAGGGACCGAGCTTAACCAGGTGGTGCGGTTTGAGACCCTCAATCCCAACTCTACCACCAACTGGTTCGATTCTGGTGGGTACTTTAAAACTTCATTATCATACCGATTAAGATAAGTCTTTACATTTATAAGTAATTGAATTGCTTTTAAATTATACATTTTAATAATTTATTCATTTTAAAAAAATAATACTTGTAATATTTTTTATTATAATTATAAATAATTTAAATAAAATTATTGTATTATTTTTTATTTTAGTTATTTAAATTTAAATTATTTTAATATATTTTTTTTTATATATTTTAAAATTGCCTGTTTATGCAGCTGTTTATTTATTCATTTGAATATTTATATACACTCACCTAAAGCATTATTAGGAACACCTGTTCAATTTCTCATTAATGCAATTATCTAATCAACCAATCACATGGCAGTTGCTTCAATGCATTTAGGGGTGTGGTCCTGGTCAAGACAATCTCCTGAACTCCAAACTGAATGTCAGAATGGGAAAGAAAGGTGATTTAAGCAATTTTGAGCGTGGCATGGTTGTTGGTGCCAGATGGGCCGGTCTGAGTATTTCACAATCTGCTCAGTTACTGGGATTTTCACGCACAACCATTTCTAGGGTTTACAAAAAATGGTGTGAAAAGGGAAAAACATCCAGTATGCGGCAGTCCTGTGGCGAAAATGCCTTGTTGATGCTAGAGGTCAGAGGAGAATGGGCCGACTGATTCAAGCTGATAGAAGAGCAACTTTGACTGAAATAACCACTCGTTACAACCGAGGTATGCAGCAAAGCATTTGTGAAGCCACAACACGCACAACCTTGAGGCGGATGGGCTACAACAGCAGAAGACCCCACCGGGTACCACTCATCTCCACTACAAATAGGAAAAAGAGGCTACAATTTGCAAGAGCTCACCAAAATTGGACAGTTGAAGACTGGAAAAATGTTGCCTGGTCTGATGAGTCTCGATTTCTGTTGAGACATTCAGATGGTAGAGTCAGAATTTGGCGTAAACAGAATGAGAACATGGATCCATCATGCCTTGTTACCACTGTGCAGGCTGGTGGTGGTGGTGTAATGGTGTGGGGGATGTTTTCTTGGCACACTTTAGGCCCCTTAGTGCCAATTGGGCATCGTTTAAATGCCACGGCCTACCTGAGCATTGTTTCTGACCATGTCCATCCCTTTATGGCCACCATGTACCCATCCTCTGATGGCTACTTCCAGCAGGATAATGCACCATGTCACAAAGCTCGAATCATTAGGGCCCAAGCCTTGAAAAGGCGAAGGCCCTATTGTTTTCCTTAGGATTATTATTATTATTATTATTATTATTATTATTATTATTATTTTATCGACTATTCGGGCACTTTTGGGGCTCTTAACGTGCACGAAAACTCTTGAAACTTTGCACACTGGTCAGAACCCGTGGCCATCAGGGCCGGGCTGAAGCTGGTACCCGGGCGTGGCAGGGGGGCTCGACAGCGCCCCCTGGAACGGGGTCCGAAAACTTGGTCCATAAATCAAACACGCTTGCATGTAATAATATGAAACTCGGTACACATATAGATCTCATCGATTTATATATCCTTTGTACTTTTACTTTTTACCCCAGCCCAACAGGAAGTCGGCTATTATGGTTTGTTTGGAAGCGTATGCCCCTGGAATTCGATATACTCCTCCTAGAGAATTCAACCAATCGCAACGAAACTCGGTCAGCATGATGTCAAGACATTGAGGATGAAAAATTGCCAGGGGATTTCTGATATCTCGAACGGTTTGGCCGTGACGAGGAAACGAATTTATGGCGAATAATGGAAACAGGAAGTGTGTTATAACTTCTGCATACATTAACTGATCTTGATGAAACTTCAACAGTGTGTTCGCTGTAAGAAGCCGATCACATGGATGTGACTATTGTGAGTCAAAGTTATAGCGCCACCAACTGGCAGCAGGAAGTGTGTCACTTTCAAAATGCTTTGAAATCACCCTCTTATTTTTACCCGATTTGCTTCAAACTTGATGTGTATAATGTAGACACTCGCCAGATGTAGACCTGTGAAAGGATTATTGATATCTTAGATACTGTTGCCATGGCAACGCATCAAACTTTAATATTCTTTTTGGATGCTTTTGAGACTCTTAGCATGCCTGAAATTGCTTAAAATTGCATGAAACTCGACAGACAGATCACATTTATTAGCCAGTAGACATGTGCAAAGTTTCAGAAACGGGCGTGGTGCAGGGGCTCAGTAGCGCCACCTTTTGTGACAAAAGTGGGTGGGGGGGGGGTTACTTTCATCTACAGTTACAAAACTTTTTCAACTTGATGAAAATACATTAAAGATGCTAAATTGTGAACGGATATTGAATATCTCAAACGGTTTTGCTATGGCGAGGGATTATGTCAAAAAGAGAATCAGGAAATGTCTCATATCTTTCTAAAATGTAATTATACACCATTTATTTTTCTATAAAATTATACTAATATTAGAACTAAACCCATTGTATTCCTTTTTTTCAATTTAAGATTTATGTTTAAGTTTAAAAACAGCCAGAATGGTTGTTTAGCCAAAAAAATAAAAAAATAAAAATCATTCACAGTGCTTTACTGCCCTCTTGTGTTCAAAATCAGGTAGGCCAATTGTATTAAATTGTAGGGATGCTACTATGGGAATATTTTCCCACCGTGACTCCGCTGGGGGCTTTAAAGTCGCTAACTTGAAAGCGAAAGTAACGGACGTCTCCACAAGACGTGCAGCTGTGAGCATTTTCGTTTCATTTTAAAAGAAGCCCCATTTCGGGGGCGGATTTCTTGAATGTATTTTACAAAATCACAATGTTGTGTTTGATTGCGAGTATCCAAAAATAAGTAAACACTTTGCAGTTTGAATGATCTTCTTGAATAAAATGACGGAGTAGCCAATGTTTCCACTGTTCGATCGCGGACGTCCACACGGACATTGATAATGGTGGTGCGTGCAGAGCGCTCGAGGGAATTCCTATGGAAGTAGGAATGAACTAAAAAACGTTCACTCTGTTCTGCTCGCTCATCGTCGTGGACGCGCAGCGTTATGAATGCCCGTGTGATGCAGCATAACACAGCAGAGAGAGACGCTCACTCTCAACTCGTGATTAATGAAATTTGACTCCGGTTGCTGATCTTTGCTGCAACTTTCGTTCAGCTCACAATTTAGTAAGCAAACCCGTTCAGGTTTTAATTGTAGTGACTAAATGATTTTATTAAACACACACACACACACACACACAAACACACACATCAAATTGACGGTGGGGGGCAATGGTATATTTAAATCTGCAAATTGTAATATATGCAGGGCACCCCGGTCCAGTCTTATTAAATGTATGCTTCATCTTTCATTTTTAATTTGTAAATTTGATCAATAAATTCAATTATTTAGAATGATAAGACACTATATGGCTTTTACCCTAGGTAGGGCTGATCAAATTAAATCGTTTACACTGAAAAATAACAATGCATTAAATAATGTTATGAGATTGTTTTAAATATAAGTCAATTAAAAATCGTTGGGAAGAATGATACTTTTAAACATAACACTAAACCGTCATTAGGTGTCGCCAGGCGACCGTCTTAATGAGCGAGTCATTGATTCATTCGTTCAAACAATTCGTTCGAACGGTTGAGTCATTCATGAATGAGACAGATTATGGATTGGTCATTGAATCTTTGAGTCAACCGATTCGTTCAAAATGCTGAATCATTCAGTAATGAGAACGCGTTGCTGTGAGATGCTCGATGGTTCTGCTGTGATCTTTGTTGAACTATTTTCGCTGCTGAAACAGAAAAAAGTCAATATTGCATCTAAAATGTAAGTGATTTGACTTGTGTGTTTGTGTGTGTGTGTGTGTGTGTGTGTGTGTGATTGCGTCTGTTACAGTGATTGTTTAACCCTTGTTAAAGTTTAGGCCTTGTCTTTTTGGATATATATCTTTTTAAATAAAAAAATAGGCATACAACCCATATATTTTAAATGTATTGTTTGCTTTAAATTACATTAAGATTTGTATGTTTGGTAATTGAACCTGAATGAATTTTAAATGAATGTGCTATATATCAGATCATATATTTGTTTTCCTTAACATTTAAACTAACACTAACTTTATTCTCATCTGAATGATAGATTATTTATTTCTGTATATAATAAAAACACATTTGATTTTTCTTTTTTAATCAATGTAGAATGTGTAACTGAAAAAATAAACAGATTAGGGCTCTGTTCGAGAACAAGAAATGAAAACCAATGCAATATGCTGAATGTCCAAAAGATTTTTTTTTTGCTTTTAAACTACGTGTATGTGTGTGTGTGTGTGTGTGCGCGTGTGTGTGTGTAAGAGATTTTGGTTGGGTGACATTTGTAGTTTACAGTTTGACAAAAGCACAATGTTGTGTTTTATTGCGATTGTACACAAATATAAGTAAACAGTTTGCAGTTTGAAAAATGTCCTGTATGAACAAAAGGACGGAGTATGTTTTTATGTCTACATTGTTGAATCACGTCTCTCACACACACACACACACACACACACACACACACACACACACACACACACACACACACACACACACACACACAAGTTTGCTCACGCATATGATATGTGCCCTCAATGCACACTTTTGCAGAGCCCACACCAATGCAAGCTCTACAGCACACATCTTCTCAACAGTCAAAGCGGGGTTAAGTTATTACCCGTCATGCACAGTAACCCTTAAGGCACCAGGGTGGCGGTGCCACCGGCTTGTTTATATATATATATATATATATATATATATATATATATATATATATAAATATAGCTGCGAGCAGCGATGAAGGGCCAAAGCCGGCGGCACCGCCACTCCGGTGCCTTTAGGTTACTAAAGGCACCGGGGTTGCGGTGCCACCGGCTTGGGCCCGTAATCGCTGCTCGCAGCTATATTTTCAAATTGGTTTCTTGAACATGACAATGAGTTCACTGTACTAAAATGGCCCCCACAGTCACCAGATCTCAACCCAATAGAGCATCTTTGGGATGTGGTGGAACGGGAGCTTCGTGTCCTGGATGTGCATCCCACAAATCTCCATCAACTGCAAGATGCTATCCTATCAATATGGGCCAACTTTTCTAAAGAATGCTTTCAGCACCTTGTTGAATCAATGCCACATAGAATTAAGGCAGTTCTGAAGGCGAAAGGGGGTCAAACACAGTATTAGTATGGTGTTCCTAATAATCCTTTAGGTGAGTGTGTGTGTATATAAATATATATATATATATATATATATATATATATATATATATGTATATATATGTATGTATGTGTGTGTGAGTGTGTGTGCAAATTTTGTATTTAATTAGCTTTTAATTAATTTGACTTGTTTCAGATACCCCACAGAGTTGTGTGATGCATGTGACCCAGCTGGAGAGAGATACAATTTTAGTCTGCTTAGATCGTAAGTACAGAACATGCCATTAATAGATTAATAACAGATGCATGCATATCAAAGAACTGATATAGTGATTAATTGCTTCTCTTCGTCTCCAGGGAGCATTAAGATTGTGAATTTGCAAGGCCGGTTAAAGTCCAGTCGAAAACTCTCAGCCGAACTGACTTTTAACTTCCAGATTGAATCAATAGGTATGGAACTTTGGTACATTAAAGGTATTGTAGGTAGGAATTTTTTTTAAAACTTTTTGCCAAATTTGTTTAAACTTTCTATATATATCAATGCATAATTAAAATATAAGTACTCTGGAAAAGAGAGTATAAAAATCGAGTGTCTGTAGTCCTCTCAGGGCTGTAATAAACACAGCTACTTATCTCCATTCACTTCCACCCCCTCCATTCTGGGCTCCTTCCAAAACCACGCCCCCAAAACACATGAACGCGCGATGCCGACAGCTCACAGCTGGAGGACGCGCTTACCAGCGCCCAGCGGAGAGGAGCCGTGCATGTAGTGACAACATGTCAGACTCGCATGTAATAAAATACCTAACTTTATCATTATGAATATAAACAACTAACATGGCTGTTAGTACTCACTATCAAGCTAGCATATCGATACTGGTAAAGTTTAAAATATATTGAGTTTGATTCGTTAACGAGCTAGTAACATAAAGCAAAGCTAAAAACAGGTTGCATTGATACACGTTTTCCCATTACAATCAGTTACACTGTGATGAAGGTGAATTTCGTGTAAGATTCATAACATATACGCCGTGTTTTGCATGTAATTGTGTCTCTTACTAGTCTCTTGCCCTCCTCGAGTCAAACGAGTGCGCGCATGTGGGCAGCGCATGTAGCAGCGGGGGTGTTGCCATGGTTGCGAGAGAGTGACAGTCGCCTAAGCCAATCCATTGTTTCGTCCCGGAAGGAAATAATGAGCTGTGTTTAGTGCAGATTAAACGGTCTAGAGTCACTCGATTTTTATACTCTTTTTATCAGAGTACTTACATTTTAATTATGCATTGATATATATAGAAAGTTTAAACAAATTTGGGAAAAAGTTTTTTAGACCAAAAACGACCTACCCTACCTTTAAGGGTGGCTTGAAGTAAATGTTCCTCCATTTTTACATAAATCCTCTCTAAGCTCACTGAATTTAACAGTTATCCTTTAGCTATTTAAACACTTTTCTATGGGTAAATTCTTTTTTTATTGTAGTATATCTATTGTAGTAAAATCTCTCTCTATGCATCTATCTATCCCTCTTAGTTTGCCTTCAAGACAGTGTGTTGGCCTTCTGGAGGCATGGCATGCAAGGACGCAGCTTCAAGTCCAATGAGGCAAGTCCATCTTAATATATGTGAGAGATGTACAGTCAATAATATCAAGAGGAAAAACCCTGACCCCATCGTGAAGCAGAAAAAACAAACTGCAAAAATATCACAATATATGTATAAATATATAAATTAATATATAATATAAATGTATATTTATATCTAAATTAAATTTAATATTAATACTTAATGCCAATTAAAAATGCAATACAGGTTATAATATATAATTAAATGATTAATTTGCAATACAGGTTACTTTTTATTAATATGGTCTAGCTGATATTTAACAACATGTTTAAAAAAAAAAATTATTTCTCATTCAGCTATTTTAAACACATAAAGTATGTATATATATATATTTATATATATATATATATATATATATAACAGGATCAGAACGTATTTCAGAGAGTGGTGTAAGAAAAAAAGTTTGTTAAACTATATGACATAGATATTTTGCAATCACATTATTCTGTTTATATTCCAGATTACACAGGAGATTTCTGACAACACAAGGATATTTAGACTGCTGGGTTCAGACAGGTGAGAAGAAGCCATCTAATTATTATGTCATTATTTAATTAATATTGTACACTTTATTACTGGTGTGCCAATCCATGTTTTATAATGTAGGGCATATGTTCGCAGAAAGGGCATCAGGTCAAAGGTATTTGTTTTGATGTTATTCTTTATAGAGTGGTGGTTTTGGAGAGCCGGCCAACAGACAATCCAACAGCACACAGCAATCTCTACATCCTCGCAGGCCACGAAAACAGCTACTGACCGCAATGCATCTTGGTGCAAAAAACACTACATGCCGGAATGCAGCGTTACAAGAGGCTTTTAATTTAATGTGGCCCAATGACAACTAGCCACATCTCAGAAGAACTGCAGATATGCTGTTGTTGGACAACTGAGAGCACAGAGGAAGACTTGAATAGATTCAAAGATCTCAGAGAACCGCATGATGTACTACAGTACTACAGTATGCACTTTCACCCTTAACTGTTTTAGAGGCCTTGCTTTGGTTTGGTTTCTAGCAGTTTTAATTTATTTTTAACTGAAACACACACATATACTATTTTTTCTTTTCAAAAGTAAGCAAGATTTCTTTTGTTTTAAGCCACTACTCTCACTTGACGCTAACCACACAAGTGCTTGAAGACACGTATTTAATTCATGTACATACATAGTATTGTTGAATTGTACTCTTTGCATTGGTTATGTAGATATCAGTACATTTATGTTGTACAGGTTTGTGGCAGCATTAGCGTTGTAAAGGACTGTGAGATGTTGGGTACTACTTAAAGTGACCTCTAGGGCCAGATAATTTTTGTTATATGCAATGGTTTAAGAATCACAAAGCTGAAGTGCCACTTTTTCCGAGACTTGCCTTCTTAATGTCTTTTTTGTTTGTTTTTTTATTGTAAAACCTAATCTTTTTTTATATAAAGCCAAATTGTGTTTTTATTGAGCAACTTCTAATTCAGTGGCCCTCGTAATTGTTTTTAACTCTGTGGTATGCACTCACTTCAAATTTGCACAATGTTATTAAAATGTTAATGTGTATATGTATGTGTATGTTTAAAACCATGCAGATAATAACATATATAGATATATACACATGTATTTTTTTGTAAATGTGTATGTATAATCCTAATAAGCAATAAATCATTAGGATGTTTTTTACATTATTTTGAAAAGTTCTCAAGCTTATGTGGATGACATTACTGTCTGCATCCAGTTGTTTGTATGTAATTTGAGTGCTGTATACACTATTTACAAGATGATGTTGGAATTTGTGAGTGTCTGTAAACTTTCTACAACATGGACTTTCTCTTACAGAACTGGCATTCAAAGTAAATGAAATTCCACAATAAGAAAAGAAAAACGTATTCCTTAAGTTCTCTTGTCTGTAATTCACAAGTTAATACGAGTATGGAATACATTTTCATTTCGTTTTGTGTCAAATGTACATAGTGTAAAATAAAATCACATGGTTTTACATACTGAGATATCTTTCGTGTTTTAATAATAAAAGTATTTTGCTTACTTTTATACATTTTGCTTAGTATTTCTTGTAAAATTTACTAAATCTGATTATTATTATTATAATATTAAAAGTTCAAAGCGCAAACGGTCGTGTATGGTCCAGAGCCGTTGAAAAACACGGCTCTGGTCGTGTCGTGCTCAGAACACTGGAAGCTGGATGAAGACACCATAGACATAATACATAGACGCGATACGTCAACGCGTCCGCCATTTTGCGGAGGGCAAGACTGCACTGTAATCAAATGCAAGTAAACGGGTGAGCTGCGGTTTTTCTGGATAAAAACAAAAATAACGTTTACATTTATCAACCGATTTCAGTGGTTCGTACATGGTGCACAAAAAGTTCCATCTCTAGTTATTTAAAATCTCGATAGTTAGACTTATAAAAAAATTTTTAATAAGGAATTGTCAAAGCTCAGGCTTGTCATGTATTTGGCTTTTTATTCTTGGATAAGAATTGTGAAGACCCCCATACTGAGATATAATTTAATTTTCATATTAAATTAAAGTTTTTTTTTTATTGTGGAAAAAGCATTTTCTGTCTTTAATCCGATTTTAGCTTCTCTTGTGCTTAGAATTGAGCCATTGAGAAAATAAAACAAATCAGCAAATCACACATGCAGGTGCTTTCTGTATTTTTATAGCACAGAAATTTTTGATATTTACAGATACTCCAAATATACAATAAAAAAGATAACTGATGGATCCTTTATGGTAATATGATATGGACGGTACAATTAGAGTGTGCAATGAAAATAGTAAATATAAGAAAGTGAGAAGTAATAGTAAATAGTTTAGTGTATAGTCAATAAAATAAACAAACAGTATACAGCAAATAAAATAGTAATGATACTTTTTTAATACTATAATAAAAGCAATAGAATATAAAATATTAATTACAGAATATAGACAATTAAAAAATTAAATAGGGACTAGTACAATAATTTAACACCATAACTATAATAGATTGATAATCGCAAGTGGTATAATAATAATAATAGCAAATACATTGTAATTTTAATTGCAGAATAATATAGACAATAATAAAAATAGAAAATGATTAATTTCACTGCTATCCATCAATCATCTATAATCACTCATCCTTTGTACGTTCACAGAGCTAAAAACCCTTTGAAAAGAACTGCTTTGCAGAGCTTTTTTCTTGAGTTGCCACTCTGTAGTGTCAGAGTGTTAAGTTTGGCAATGTGGTGCATCCTCAGTTTGTGAAAGACAGACACAACTAATGACAAGAGAGAAAAATTATGGTTGTCAATTTCCAAACTGTGTTTCCTGTATGTGCTCCTTGAGAAAAAACACATCTTCAGAACCAATCTCAGCTCTGACAAACTGATTGATCAAAGAAACTCTGACCGGTTTCCCAGAGGATGACTGGCGAATAAACCGCTCTGCTGATCTGACCACCTTCACTGTACCCTCAGAAGGAATCATCAGCCCTCCATTGTTTTTCAGTGAAAGCAAGTGGTAGTTCTGATCAAAAGACGCAGGTACAGCATCTGCCACCAAGCTAGCACGGCACACATCACAGGAAAGCTTTCTCAAAATCTGACGCACCACAAAACCTGAAATGTACACAAGGGCATTGTCCACAAGGCTACCAAAGCGGGTTGGCAGGTAGCTGTGGTCACACACAAGTGCAGAAACGTTTACAAAAGGGGATCTCAGATTCATCAACTGCTAGAGATGATATTTCGACAGCTGATAGCCACACGGTCTCATCCTGTGGTGCCACATTCCCTCCTTGGAGAGACACCGCACCGGACCATGAGACGCCGGAAAATGCCCTGGAACTGGCCTGCAGTAGGATTGTTATTCCATCCCCCTAAAAACCAAACACAAACACACACAAACATGAAAATTCGCTGATAATGTATTCACCCCAAGGCCATCTAAGATGTATATGAAAAAAAATCTTCATCAAATGAAGAAAGAAAATCATATACATCTTGGCCTGATGGTGACTACCAGCAAAGTTTCATTTTTGGGTAAACTAGAGCTGCACAATTCTGGATAAATTTGTGATTCTGGATGAATCACGATTTTTTTTGCTGTAATCCTACTTGTCAAAGGTTTAATAGACAAAGGCGAATAATTGTCATTTAGGAATAAGACGGTGCAGGTGTTTGAATCAATATTCTTTGTTACGATTAATCATGCAGCACTTCCATTAATACGTATATATTGCCTCTTTTCAGATTATATTTTTTTATAATTTCTAAATTTCTGAAATCCCTACCTGATGCCCGAATTGAATTGAAGAGGAGCTCCAGGTGATCCTGGCTGAATCGGTAAGTGAAATCGTAATTGTTCAGGAATCATCAACATTAGGGTGTCAATATTGATGATGAACCCCATGACAGACAGGTACCTTAAAAATAAAATGTTTTGTCAGTATGATCATGGCAAAATCAAGATACTCTTAAGAGAGCACAATGTAATTTTGTTCACTGAAAGTTGTAAATGGTATTGATGTGGCGGAACAACACAGTGACATGCCATTGTGGTGACCAATAGATAGCTCTAATGATAGAACATTCGCTCCTTTGACTTGAGAGCAGATTAGTTAGAGAGACTGAGGGCAAATGATACAAAGTTATTTGTAAAATCCAAAAACTTTGGGGCTTTTGAGAAAACATTCAGGGACGATTTCCAAGAAGCCACACCATTGCAATGTCTCTGGTTGGTAATTATATTTTCCTAGTACATAAAAGACAAATTCGCAAAATTACTGCATGCTCTTTAAGAGTATACTGTAAATTAGTGTCAGGGTTAGGAACCTTTAAGTAAATGATTTACCTCTAAGGCATTAAGCCAACTAGGAACAATTTCAGAACAGAACTGGAAAGGCTTAAAAATACATACTTACCAAAAGAAAGCATTTGATTCATCACCATTTTGCATAGTATTACCTCAATGAATTCAGCCGTTGCTTCAGTGTTTAAACTGTGAATAGCCAAGGTCTCTTAATGTCCGCAGAGCTACAGCGACTGAGCGACTTAGTGTCTGTGCAGCCAAAGACACCTTCATCTTCTGGGAATCAAAATGCACGTGCTTGCCTGTTACCTTGTTGGCTGCATGCAGTCCATCTTTGACTTGAACTGCATTTAGATGAACAATGAATGTCCAGTTGATCTGACCAGTGCTGCTGGTTATTGGACTGTAAGCCTGCAACATTTCGAGCCAGCTTCAACATGTGGCAAGCATCCATCATCACAAACACCTTCTCACCAGTCACTGGATGTGTGGAAAAGGTTTTTAAGGGCACAAGAGAGTTTGCCTTTAACTGGCACCCAAGTTGGGTGCACATGCTAATATTAGAAGCATGTCCCTCCATTGTGACACACACCACTCTTATTCCACGCTCATGCAGTTCCTCCAAGGCATGCACAATTAAGACGTTCTGTGTATCTGGTGACAGAGAGTTGGTCAGGTAGTAGGCAATTGGAGCCTTCCAATGGCCTTGAAGGCCAACCACCATAAAAACAAGAGCTTCTGTGGCAACATCAGTTTCATTCATACCATCCCCCATATCCACAAATACAGACATTTTCTGTGTATTAGGATTGTACTGAACATGTTTTTTGATAGCCATGGCATCCAACATGAGAGTCACACATCCATATTTAGCTGGGTCTTCCTCTTGTCGTCTTTTCAACATGTCCAACATCATCATGTTGAGGCCAGGTTTGAAATCTACAGAACTCATCCACCTTTGTAAAATGAAAAGTAGTTAATTAAATGTATTAAACTATTTTGTGCAATCAAATTCAATGTGCAATCTTTGTGCACAAAATCAATTGTGCAATCAAATAAGAATACCTCTGTAATGTATGTGGATGTGGGAGATGGAGAGACTTTCTCAAATAGTTATAGGCTTTTGGGCCATGTAAGTGAAGAGTGAGGGCAAACTCCCTCTGCTCCTTTGTGTACTCGTGGCACTGTTTTGACAAGAGGTCTATCGGAAGATCTGAAATTCAGTTATAACAGACTCTTGCAATAATAATGGAAATAATAATAACAACGGGAAAGTGTACACATAAGATATGCATAATTGTTTTTGTTTTTTTTACCAGAGTAGAAATTGAGCCACTTTCAAGTCTTCATTTATGAGGTTCTTCCCCTTCAGATCCTCCAGAAGATCATGCACAATGCTCTTTGCCCTCCGTTCTCGGTCCTTCACATTCCTCTTCTCTCGCTCCAGACTCTCCACTCTAGCCAAGGCTTCACAGAGTCTGGCCTTTAAACCAGTGGGAGATGCAGGCAATGCATAGGTGTGGTCCTAGAAAGAAGGACGAAAATGTTTTGAGTACTGTTTATATCACCTGACACATTCTCAGTTGGTTAGTGAATAGCTAGTACAATGTTATACTTGCTGGCTTGCATTCTAAAACATGCTGTGTTGAATATGCTTACCTGACTGACACACACAAACACAGACATACATACATAACAGGTATACAAAGTGTACTGTTATATATGCATGTATTGTTTTATAATTCATCCAAACTTGTTCTTTTGTTAAATACCTGATGTGACTGTCTGATTGAAAATGTGAGTGCTTTCCCCTTTAATTGATGTGATGGCAGTAAATTGTGACAAAATTGTTATTCGTTTATCAAAATGTCATTTTCGGTGAGAGACAGAGTGGTTTGAATATGAACAGGGCCATAATGCTCACAGCTCTTCTGGGTTTAAATAGAAATACTCACAGCATTAGGCAGAGGAGGATCAGTCTCTTGGAAATGCTGAGAACAGTCCACTAACAGGCTTTCCTCAGCTTTCTTTGAGGCTTGTGTAGTCCTGGTTGCAACGGGCTAAAAAGGAAATAAAAATATAAACAAATAACCATTTAATGGCAAGCTATTAAATCATTATAATCTAGTGATGAAAAACCTACTCTTTGTTGATGAGTCGGGAAACTGAAGACTGATGGTTTAGCTCCATTCCTAATCCTGACAGTCTGACCTGTCCTGTCAAAGTGATCCGACTTGAAGTGCTCACTGCATAGCACAGAGAAATCGCTTGCGGAAAAACCTTGCCTTCGTATAGCTACTTCCCACTGTCTCCTCAACTCTTTGTCTTTGGGAAACCTTCAATGTGTGAGAAAAGTGAGCTAGCGAACTAACGAACGTTAACGTTACAGTAAGATTCACAACAGTAAGAAACGAGTACTTGTCATAAAAGTCGGTTTTAAGAAAATATTTAGATTTTCAGGAAATTTACTTTATAATATAAAATATAATATAAGCTAAAACTATACTATAAATCATGTCAACTCATGTCTTCACAGCAAAGTTAACTAGAGACACCGCAAGCAAGCTAACGTTATTTTAGTTTGACTAACTCCGGTGGCCAACTAACGTTACTATTACTAATTATATAACGACCAAATACAACCAGAAACAAATGTTCAGTCTTACTTGTGAAAAGTAATTCCCCGAGACCTGTTTTCAATAGTGCGGCGATTTGTACAGCCCCAAGCAGCACATGAAGCAGGCATTTTTCTCAACTACTGTTATGAGAGAAATGCATAGGAGAAATGAGAATGTTGCCCTCCGCAATATGGCGGCCCGCTGGTAAGTCCCGCCCCTTCCGCTTACCCCGCTGGACCCATGGCTGGACCCGGCTGGACCTCTAGGTTGAAAAATCGTCAATGCAAGTGAATGAGAGAAAATAATTATTTTCTAATCCCGTTTGAATTTTGCAATGAATGTGAACATATGTTGTCTGTGAATTTTTTATATAATTTTTCGTGTAAAGAATGCTACAATTTAGCGGGTAGAATTTTCATACGGTTAGACTATGTGTGAGAGCACTTTGTGGACTACAACTCTTCGCTGCTTTCGACGCGTTTGATATACGTCACCACCACTAGCACACGGATAGCGCTAAACATGCCTTTGTTTGAATGGTGACATTTGGGTACAAAATACACAGGCATCTCGATCTAATTCCTTAGATTATCGCACCGTGATTTGTGGAAGGAAAATGTGTTATGCGGTGACGTCACACATGCGACGTGTAGTCTTTCTCGTTATGTCTATTCCACAACTGCTAGCCAAAGAATCATGCAATATACTGTCAAACTCGTTACATGAGAAATTATATAAAAATTCACAGACAACATATGTTCACATTCATGACACAATTCAAACGGGATCAGAAAATAATTATTTTCTCTCATTCACTTGCATTGACGCTTTTTCAACCTAGAGGTCCACTTGGAGTTTTACGGATGGGCGGGACTTACCAGCCTATGTATGTATTATGTCAATACGCACAACCGGCACATCCGGGAACTTAACTGTCAATTTCGTCCCCGCCCCTTTTTGGGGGAAACAAACTAGACTTTCCATAGACTTCAATACAAAATAACGGCAAAAAACAACGTCCGTACACAGCCGGCAGGCGTAAATAACTTAAGAAATCAATTATATAAAACATGTCAAGTAATTATATGTCCACCCTGCCTGCCATAGAGCTTGAAAGATACATACACAAACTTAATTTGGTCAATTTAAAAACATGTCCCTTTATTCTCCCAGCGTCAAATTGGTGTAACAACACCACCCAAAGGGGTTATATATATTATAAGATATATTATAATGTATATTATAAGACATAATATATACATTTAAAGATGCTTATACATTCAAAAACGAAGTAAAATCATTCACTGGCTTACCATGGTGACTCGATGAGGTACGACTACGAGTAAATGTCCGGGAAAGACACCTCTGGCCACTGGGTGGGGTTGTTACCATAGACAGTAAAATAATTAATTATTAAAATAAATAATTTGAGGCTGGGAGAATGAAGGGACATGTTTTTAAATTGACCAAATTAAGTTTGTTGATGTATCGTTCACGCTCTATGGCAGAATAGGGTGGACATATAATTACTTGACATGTTTAATCTTAGTGATTTCTTAAGTTATTCACGCCTGTCTGCTGTGTACGGACGTTGTTTTGTGACGCTATTTTGTATTGAAGTCTATGGGAAGGCTAGTTTATTTCTCCCAAAAGTGGGCGTGAACCTTTTCAGAGACATTCTATGACGCAGCGCCGGTTGTGCGTATGGAAGACACACGGAAGGGACTTTTATTTTGCTTCACAGTCCGTCTCGTGACGTCACAGAAATCATGGCTTTGTCCAGTGTTTTTAAAGCAGGTCTTTTCAATCACAAAGTTGCAATCGTGACGGGAGGTGGGACTGGGATAGGAAAATCTATTACTTCTGAGCTCTTACAGTTAGGTATGCATTTACTGGTTTTACTGATGGATTTATCCTTGTATTTAGATCAGGATTGTATACGATAACGTAACACTAACAGTGAACTTTAGTCCAGATATTGAGCAACACAGCAATCGGCCAATAAAATAAAAAAAAAAAAATTTTTCCTGGTCATCAATCACCAATTTAACTATTACCAATGCAATGTATTTCATGTTTTTAGATCATAATTTCCATTCAAGACAGGTGAATTTGGTAACATATTTTGGAGGAATATAAATTTAGAAAATAATGTTTAAAATGTTTTTAGTAATAGAATGTTAATATACTGTAGGAACAAACCATCTGTAAAACGTTAATAAAACTTTGGTTTTGCCTGTTAGTGTCTTGCCTTAACTATTAAATATCTTGCACTTAAAAATAAAAAGATATATATCATATATAGGCTATATAGACCTTATTCAGAGCAGCGCCATGACAGGTATGAAAGCGAGGCTGCGATTTGGAGATTTGCCGTGTTTTCAATGGCGTCCACTGTAAAAAGCTATATAAAGCTCCTAGATCACTCATAATTTTCCACAGCTCATATTTTCAGGAGTTTAAAAAAAATGATCTACTGTAATTTCTTGGGAAAATATTTTTGCAATGTTTCACCAGCAGAACAATTCAAAAGCACATTAAATAAAGTACAACCCACTGAAGAGATGTATGCCTCTCACAGCCTTGCTTTTATTTCAGTTAAAATTCAAAGATGAATATGGTCTAGCTATATATACAGTCTCAAATATCACCCATGTTGTAGGATGCAATGTGGTCATATCATCCAGAAAGCTTGAGCGTCTGGAGTCAGCAGCTGAAGAGCTGGCACAGAAGATCCCCCCATCCAGTCCGGCTAAAGTGACCCCTGTGCAGTGCAACATCCGGAATGAAGAAGAGGTGACAGTCTCGTGAACCTGTTTTTATACATTGCCTTCATGCCAGAGAAGCATGTGTAAAATGTCTTTGTTTTCAGCACGTTAATTTAGGAAGGTAGGCTATAGGACAAATTTTGGTTCCCTTTCGAACGGTCACTTCGTATTGCGTAGCTATACGCAGTGGGGAAACTCCCTTTCCTCGATTTACTGAAGCTTATATGTAAAACGCATTTGCAGCTGCACAGCCAGCCCCCTGAGCGTCTGACCCGCTCATAGGCTGTGCTGCAGCAACTGCAAATCCAATGGCGCGGGCGACTCTGACGCACAACCAATAAGCTAGCCCAACGTCAGAGCCCGTCGAGGGGGCGTGCCCTGCCTATATAGACCCCCGAATTCGCCATTATAGCAGATTTTACTCCTTCAGCGACAGTACACATGTCCCTGAGCTTTTTACTGTAGCATTCGCCGTCGAACAAGCCTTTCAGCCTGAGCGTGCTTCTCTTCAGCAGACTTCGCCTGCACGTCGATTTCTCCTGACGCTGTCTCACCTGTGGCTATCCGGCGACATTATATCCTTTGTTCTATATTGCTAACATTCTTTTCAGTATGCCTCGTCCATCCTGCGCCACGTGCGGAGGCCGTCTGCACGAGGCAGACCAGCACACGAGCTGCATTTCCTGCCTGGGGATCGACCACGCAGAGAATGCTCTGTCTGCCGGCGGATGTGAGGCCTGTGACTGCATGCCTATATCCGCGCTGCGCAATCGGCTAGCTCTCTCCCGGGACGGCGACGCCGCTTCATCCACGCTTTCCGTTCCAAGGAAGAAGAAGCGTCGCAGCCAACGGCAACCGGAGGGTATGGAGATTTGTGAACGCACGCCGGCCGCGTCCCCGCGTGCTTCACTTTCTCCGACTCAAACGCCATCACCGGTCCTGTTCGCAGGAGACCAGCGCCCCCCCCCCCCCCCCTCACGTGGCGGGCCTCGTCTCCTTCGGCGGATCTCTCGAGCGCGACGACAGCTTATCCATCGCCGCTTCCGAGGACGAGTGGCCGGGCTCTCTCGACCCCGTCACCGCTTCTCAATCGGTGGCCAGCGGATTAGCGACCAGGACGAACTCCGACGCCGAGATGCTTCGGATCCTGACGTAGGCCGTCGCGGACCTCGACCTCGAGTGGGCCTCGCCCGAGGAGCCGCCTCGTAGTCGGCTGGATGGATGGTTTCTGGAGGGGCGCCAGCAGGCCCCGCGTCACAAACCGGCGCCATTTTTCTCCGAGGTCCACGAGGAGCTAACCAAGGCCTGGCGCGCTCCATACTCAGCACGTGTGGGATCCGCAGTTTCCGCGACGCTTTCCTCCGTGGATGACGCAGCGGAAAAGGCAGCTCATCTTTGCCCGAGCTCTGCAGCTAGCTGGCGAGCTAGAGCCGCTCATCCCAACAAACCCTGCCGTAACACCTCAGCCCTCGCTGGACGCGCGTACGCCGCCTCCGGCCAGGCTGCATCGGCCCTGCACACGATGGCCGTGTTGCAGGTCTACCTGGCCAAACTCCTCCGGTCCATGGACGAGGCTGGCCCGGACCCGGAGACGTTTCGGGACCTGAGGAGTGCTACGGACTTAGCGCTGCGGGCTACTAAGTCTACAGCACAAGCCATCGGCAGAAAATGGCTAGTTTGGTCGTGCTCGAGCGCCACCTGTGGCTTAACCTCACCGAGATCAAGGAGGCCGACAAAACGAGGTTTCTCGACGCTCCGGTGTCCAGCTCCGGTCTCTTCGGCCCGGCGGTGAAGGGATTCTCGGAGAGGTACACGGAGGCACAGAAAGCGTCCCAGGCCATGCGACACTTCTTGCCGAAGCGTTCGGGCTCCGCGTCCAGCAAGCCCAAACCTCCGCCTTCGCCTCATCCAGCCAAGCCGGCGAAACAGGCCTCTCAGCCCCGCCCTGCGGCTGATAGCCAGCGCCAGTCAAGGCCCGCTAAGCGCTACCCGCTCCCCAGGCGTCAAGGCCCTCGACCCAGCGCCGCGGCCGACCAGGCGCCTCCGAAGTCGTCCTAGCACGGAGGGGAAAGAGAGAGGGCTCGTGTCTCGCGCTAGCCGGACCACCCTCGAAGAAACCAGCAAAACTTCCCACAGCTCCCTGTTCAGTTCAGGCGGCTGGGGATTTTATTATTGTAAACAGGCCCGCAGCAGTGAGCTGCTGCGAACTGCAAACAAACGCCGTTTTCACGGCCTTGGTCTTTCTGGGCACGGTTTTGGACTCGGTGACAATGAAAGCGCGGCTCACTCAAGAGCGCGCGCTCTCGGTACAGACACTGGTAGCCGCATTCAGGGCGCGCAAGCGCGCGCCTCTGAAGAGGTTTCAGAGACTGCTTGGTCTAATGGCAGCTGCATCATCAGTACTCCACTTGGGATTACTGCACATGCGCCCGCTGCAGCACTGGCTGAAACGCCGTGTGCCAACCCATGCATGGCAGTCAGGCAGCCTGCGCATTATGGTGAATCAAGGGTGTTTGAGAACACTGGTTCCCTGGCGGGCTCAGGACTGGTACTGCAAGGGGGTGACCATGGGGATAGTTTCCAGGAGGAAAGTGGTTTTTACAGACGCATCCAACATGGGTTGGGGAGCGCTGCACGAGGGCAAGCCTGCCTCCGGCCTCTGGTCGAGCACGGAGCAGAGCTTACATATCAACTGTCTGGAAATGAAAGCAGTTGGTTTGGCCCTAAAAGCTTTTCTGTCAAACCTCAGGGGTCACCACGTCTTGATCCGTACAGACAACATGTCTGTGGTGGCCTACATAAATCGCCAGGGTGGCATCAGGTCAGGCAACCTGTATGTGATGGCGAGGGACCTCCTCATGTGGGCACAAGCCAATCTGAGCTCTCTGAGAGCAGCGCATGTCCCGGGCGTCCAGAATGTGGGCGCGGATATGCTCTCAAGGGGCAACACTCCCCTAGGCGAGTGGTCCCTGAACCCTCAGACGGTCAGACTAATATGGGAGAGGTTCGGCGAGGCCGAAGTAGACCTTTTCGCCTCAAGAGCCAACACCCACTGCAGGGTGTTCTTCTCAAAAAACAGGGATGCGCTGGCTCATCTCTGGCCCAGCCGCCCCCTTTACGCGTTTCCCCCCGTCTCGATGATCCCACAGGTTATCGAGCGGGTCAGGGAGAGCGGATGCCCAGTCCTTCTGGTGGCTCCTCTCTGGAAATCCAGACCATGGTTTCCGGAACTGGTTCAGTTGTCGGACACGACCCCCTGGCCTGTTCCGATGAGGAAGGATCTCCTCACACAGGCCAACGGAACGATGTGGCATCCCCGACCCGACTTATGGGCCCTCCATGTGTGGCCCCTAAACGGGTATCCGGGGACCTGCCTGACAGGGTCTTAAGCACTATCTCTGAGGCAAGGGCCCCGTCTACTCGGCGCCTTTATGCTTTAAAGTGGTCGGGTTTTTCCAGCTGGTGCTCGAAAAATCGTATTGACCCAGAGTCATGTGAGGTTTCAGTGGTGCTCGCCTTCCTGCAGGAGCTACTGGACGCGGGCCGCACCCCGTCCACGCTCAAAGTGTATGTGGCAGCCATCGCAGCGCACCATGCTCTGGTGGCTGGCCAATCACTGGGAAGGAATGACCTGGTGGTAAAGTTTCTGAAGGGTGCTAGGAGGATTAACCCCTCCAGGCCCCCTTCGGTGCCGCCTTGGGACCTCTCCACGGTCCTTAGGGCCCTGAGGGGTCCACCTTTTGAGCCGCTCCAGTCGGTTGATCTAAAACCACTTTCGCTAAAGACTGCTCTCCTGTTGGCATTGGCATCTATCAAGCGAGTGGGAGATTTGCAGGCCCTCTCAGTGAGTCCTGCATGTTTGGAGTTTGGATTGGATGACTCCAGAGTCATTCTCAAACCCAGGCTTGGTTATGTGCCCAAGGTGCTCTCAACGCCGTTTAGAGCACAAGTTATTACGCTATTAGCCCTTCCCCCTTCTGCTGAGGATGGGGAGGTTAATCTTCTCTGCCCTGTCAGGGCGTTGAGAATCTATTTGGAGCGTTCTGCGTCTTTTAGACAATCGGAACAGCTGTTTGTCTGCTTTGGGGGCCGATCTAAGGGTGATCCAGTCACTAAGCAAAGACTGTCTAGATGGATAGTGGATGCCATCTCTTTGGCCTACACCGCAGTGGGTCAGGTTTGCCCCATAGGTGTCAAGGCCCATTCGACCAGAGGTATGGCCTCGTCGTGGGCTTGGTCTTCTGGTTTTCCCATTCAAGATATTTGTGATGCGGCCGGCTGGTCCTCGCCTTCCACATTTATGAAATTCTATAATATGGAGGTACCTTCCCTGCAGGCGAAGGTGCTTTCGGTATGATTGAGACCTGACAGTGGCTGGTCTTGTCTACAAAAATTACTGTGCATAATCACATACATATTATATAAACCCGCTTCGGCCGGTAATAAAGTATACTAATAATCCCGACGGTGTCTGGTTTTGCTAGTATATTCTGTTAGTGGTGACTGACTTATTATGTATATTAGGCAGACCCGACTGTGTCTGGTCTGTTATATATACATGTATATGCATATGTTTTTGGGTTCCTGAGTGGCAGGACAACCAGTTACTCAGGGTGCGGCGTTTTGCATGGTGTCCCCACTGCGTATAGCTACGCAATACGAAGTGACCGTTCGAAAGGGAACTACTCGGTTACTATCGTAACCTCAGTTCCCTGAGATAGGGAACGAGTATTGCGAGTATCCGGCCGCACTATAGTAACTGGTGAAGTTGTCGCTTCAGTCGTATAACCTGCTATAATGGCGAATTCGGGGGTCTATATAGGCAGGGCACGCCCCCTCGACGGCCTCTGACGTTGGGCTAGCTTATTGGTTGTGCGTCAGAGTCGCCCGCGCCATTGGATGTGCAGTTGCTGCAGCACAGCCTATGAGCGGGTCAGACGCTCAGGGGGCTGGCTGTGCAGCTGCAAATGCGTTTTACATATAAGCTTCAGTAAATCGAGGAAAGGGAGTTTCCCCACTGCGTATAGCTACGCAATACTCGTTCCCTATCTCAGGGAACTGAGGTTACGATAGTAACCGAGTAGTTTCTCCATCTGGCAATTCCTGTTTATAGATAATAGTAGGGTCATTCTGTATCAAATCAACCAAATTTCATAAACTTCCCCAGCTCAAATTTTTGATTTTGTTCATACTTTTTCCTGTAGAAAGACAAACATAAATAGTGATGAAAACCAAAAATTTGGAGACAAATTTATACAGGGGGCAGGAAATGACTTTAGAAAGATTGAACCAAGATATTTTAATTACTTTCTAAAAAAATAGTGGATTATTAAATATTCGTCCAAGGCATTTAATATTTTGGCTTTTTTTTCATTTATGTATGTCTTTTACCAGAAAAGAAATACAAAATAAAAAAAAATAGCTGGGGACTTCTGGTTGAGTTGAGAATGAGAGTTTTTTTTTTTCTTCTTCTTCAAATAGAGATTACGATTCTGAACAGACAAGTTGAATGAATTACTTTAAAAATCGGTTTGAAAGAATTATTCAGTGACTTATAAATACTTAACTTGTTTCATTACTGCATGAATCAGCGTTTTTGAATGAATCTCTTGAATGAATGATTCAATGACAAATTTAGCAGTCACTTTTCACCACCTAGTGGCAAACCAATGAATCGATACAATCGTGATTTGAGGCGCCAAGTTACTTTCAATGTGTGATTTCCTCTATTTTGATCGCTATAACTTTTATCTCAGTATTCTGTGATAATTTGAATATTTCTGAAACACAGAAATATCAATACTGTGTGGTTTGAAAAAAGACTGCGTGCTTGTTGTGTGATTGAAGCTGACAACTGCTCTCTCTGGCTCAGCGCAGATTTGAAGAGAAGAATGAATGGCTGTTTGGAATGGATTTTGAATGGATTGTAGGGGCGTGGCTTGATGTAACAGGGGCGTGGTTTGTAGTACTGCGGGACACAGTTGGACACAGACACTTCGATTTGAAATGTGATTTTGTCAAAGGTTTATTTGGGTGGCACAGGCGAATCGTTGTCGCATGAGTGTTTGATTAATCGTGCAGCTCTGCACGGAATGACCCTGTAGGTTTGGATTATAAAGTGGTGTGACTCTACAAAGAAAATGTAGGCTATTATGTAGCTCAGGGATGGACAACTTCAGTCCTGGAGGGCCATTGTCCTACAGAGTTTAGCTTCAACCCTAATCAAACACACATGAACAAGCTAATCAAGGTCTTCATGATAGAAAGTTACAGGCAGGTGATTTTTTCAGGGTTGGAGCTAAACTCTGTAGGACAGTGGCCCTCCAGGACTGACGTTGCCCATCCCTGATGTAGCCTATCTCTCATTTTTGACAGGTGAAGAACCTGATGGCCTCCACCCTGAAGCTCCATGGGAGGATCGACTTTTTAGTGAATAATGGAGGTGGACAGTTTTCCAGCCCTGTGAACATGATGAGTGCAAAAGGCTGGAATGCTGTGATTGACACCAACCTCAACGGAACGTTCTTATGCTGCAAAGAAGGTTCGGAATGCGATGTGATGTGAAACGCGAGACATGGTTTAGCTATCGGCTTCACTCTTAAAAAATAAGACTTCCAAAAGGGGGTTTTCACAGCAATGCCATGGAAGAACCATTTTAGGTTCTCAAAAGAACCCATAGACTGTATAAAAAAAAAAAAAAAAACCTTTCAGCGAACTGTTCTTAAAAGACCCATTTGTGTGTGTGTGTGTGTGTGTGTGTGAGGAACATTTTAATAATCCAAGGAACCCCTTTCCACTATAAAGAACCTTTTGTGCACTAAAAAGGTTCCATGGATGTTGAAGGTTCTTTATGGAACCATACAGCAGAGGCCAATAAATAACCTTTATTTTTAAGGGTGTATTTGTGATTGTATGTGTAAATTGTTAGCCTTATTTCTAACCCTACAGTCTATGTTTCTAACTAAATAAGGAATTGACATGTTGACAATTTTCCAATTCAAGAGCTACTCTCATACAACTTTTGCTTTTGATTCGTAGCATACAATGCATGGATGAAAGATAATGGAGGTGTGATTGTGAACATCATTGCGGACATGTGGAAGGGTTTTCCTGGAATGGCGTGAGTTGGTAAAAATGTTGGTTAATAAAAATATTGTGTATTACTCTACATTTAATGGCTGGTTAAATATTCATCCTCTCATGGTAATGCATTTTGTCTCCTTTCAAAGCTATGTTTAAACTGCCAGACTTTTTTATGACAGGCACACAGGAGCGGCCCGAGCTGCAGTGGACAACCTGACCAAGAGCCTGGCCATTGAGTGGGCTGACAGTGGCATCCGGGTCAACTCTGTGGCGCCGGTTAGTGCCAGTTTGGAAACAATTGGAAAGCACACTGTATTTGCATAGTGTTGTCCAAAATGAGGTTAAATTGTTTGAATGATATTCGCGATTATTGATTTATCGGCTGATCGTGGTTATTCGATGTAATCGCAATTATTTGAGATAGATAACCGCAATAATTGTTTAGATTTCAATCACATTTGGCCAAAGAATATAAAAAACACTGTTGTAACGTACATATAGATAGTTAAAGGTCTTCCTTTATATGAAATTAAGGGTTGTGGGTTACAGCAGACTGCATTATACTATATTATATTATATATTTTCAAAGCATTAAAGAAAATCACATGTGCCTATTTTATTATCATTTGTATTATATTATATACAATTTATGTTAAAGAATAACGTATTAGGTTTACACTGTAAGTGACATGAACAAAACTTAAAAATTAAATCATTATTATTTGTGTGGCATTTAATCGTCAGCACAAAATACATGATTGACACAGGCCTACCACAAAATGAAAACGTAAGTATAAGCTAATTAAATGTGGCGAAAAAAAAGCTTTGTCTTGCCTGAAAAAGTTTCCATGATTTCCATTACACGAGAGTAGATGTTAAAACTTCATGCTGATTTGTACTCTGCTTTCGCCAAGATAAGCACAAACTAAGACGTAGCTTTACAGTAACCTATGCTTCTCTCTCTCCATCCATTTACGCTTCCTTCCATATGGTGATGTGAATCTCCTTCTGTCCGGCGTTAACGGCTGCAGTGTACTTGGCGCGTCAGCACACACAACGGCTGCAACTACAGTGTGCTCTCCCTAGTGGACCAGCACGACAACCGTCTGGATTGAGCCGAGTAGGGGACATCTCTAGGGTCTTCAAGTGGGCACCTTCCGTCCTCAGTGTTTCGTCGACTAGCCCACGACACCTCAAGAGGGCTCGACAGTGACTCTGGCGTCCCAGAGTCACCCCCCTCCGTCCCCCACTCAACTCAGCCCAGCTTACTGACCTTTACATCCCTCCTGCTGCTGAGACCTAACCACAATCTCACAATCTCTCCGCAACCCAACCATACGCGCCAACCCGTTTGACTAAGGCTGTCGAGTAGGGATGTCCCGATACCACTTTTTCACTTCCGATACCGATACCGATGCCGCAGCTTTGGCTTTTGCCGATACCGATATTAATCCGATATTTTTATTTTATTCTTAAACTAATAAAAAATATAGCAATTTTCTCAATTAGCCACCTAAAATATACCTCCTATATAGTCCACAACAACAGTTGATTATGAAAGATTGCCACCCTTTATTCAAACACTACAAAAAAATAAAGAAATATATAAATGAAAGAAAATACAGGTACTTCAGTACTTAAAGCTAGCTAGCTACCAACAGGTTTAAAGTTAAAACAATTTAAACAGCAGCATTCTACATTGTAAATACCAGTACAGTTTTTGTTTTTTAAATCAAGTAGAATTTCTATAACTGTGTGTTAAACTGATTATCACTCTTGTGTGTGTTAAACACAATCTACTTAATACAGACAGCTTCATTATAAAGATAAACAACAAATCCCCAAAATATATGATCATAATCTATGACAAAAATGCAATTATAAACTAGATTAGTGGATAATACACATTGCTCTTTTTATTGTTGTAAAATACATTCATGAAAAACAAGATAACAAAAATGAAAAAGATAATTATTTTAGATATAGCTAAATCTGCTATAAAATTGAGACATGTTTTAAGTGTATTGCACAGCTATTTAATGAGGCAGCAACATTAATAATTATTAATGTTAATAAGCTTTAATTGCGTCACTGCATTATGATATGAAAGGCTCCAATACAGTGCGGCACAAAGCGCTTATGCGCATCCCGAGCGGAGAATGATGCGCTTGAAGCCACGTGGAGTTACAACACGCAGCGCGTCGAGTCCGCTTTGAAAAGTTCAAAGCACAACGGAGATACATATTGATGGACAGTGTATTATACAGTATCTATCTATGCAATCGTTTATTGAGCCTTTTCTTTTAACAGTTTTAAATTTCAGTTACTGTGCGCGTGAAGAACAATTATAGTGCTCTGATTCTAGTGTTGTGATCAAACCGACAGCGTCCGACACCCGGTAGAGAGTAACACGATTGAGTTACAGCAATAAAGTCCAGCAAGATAAAGTTGTTTTATGCGAAAACATAGACCTTTATCTTACAGATCAAGTATAATAGTATTAACATTGAATCATCTTGAAGATAGTTTCATCATTGACTGTAAGGGCCGTTACATAGTCAACGCGAGCGACGCGAGCTACGCGCTCCTTTTCATAGTACACAAGCGTCACCGGCGATGCGTGAAATGCAATACACCGATCGCGCAGCAGGGGATAGTAGAGTCTAGAGTCGGGTCACGTAATGTTCAGATCAAAATGGCAACTGAAGAGGAGTGCATATTGCTGATTTTACATCGGCGGCAACAAAGGATGTATACGAACAAGCTCGCATAACTTTTCCTCTTCGCCCGCCATTGTATTCAAATCTTCTTCTTCTGTAAACATAATAATATACCTTTTTATGTACATTACTTGCAATGTCGCCCCCACCGACAACGCATAGTATTGCGTGCATCGGTGCGTCGCGTATCAAAAACTAGGATGACACATTTGGCTACGCATCGACGCATAATGGCGGCCGAAGCGTAGCGATGTGTAGCCTTGCGCACGCGTATGCGTACCGATGCGTTGACTATGTAAGGGCCCTTAGGACTAGTTTTAGTCTACAATCACCTCGCTAACTATAGTTACTTTTATTTTGAAAGTGTTACCGGTTACTTTCGCTTCCAAATAAGGAATAGACCACGTGACTTCCGTTTTTTGTTTATAAACGAAAAACGAATAGACTGAAGTTCAAAGACTCTCTTCATTCTTTGTTCAAAAAGGAATAACGATAAAATGATCGCCAAAAAACGAAAAACGGGCCGTTTTTAATTGGTTTTTCATTTTTTGATTCTGACACCTAAAACGGTTATTTGGTTTTTCGTTTTGAAACAAAAAACAGAAAAACGGTATTTTCGTTTTATAATTACAAACGAATTACGGATTATCCAGAGATCCCCTGACCGGCTACCCACAATATCGGATTTGGATCGGCCTCGTCTGATCGATACCCGATCCCGCAAAAATGGCAGTATCGGAGCCGATACCGATCCTGAGTATCGGATCGGGACTGTCCCTACTGTCGAGCCCCACTGTCTTCGTTAAAGTAGGTTCAGTGGCAACGGTTCCGTATGGCATACTACCGCAAAACACCATATCCGCCCAATCACCAACCCTCATTCACGCAATATACACAGGAACGTAATAACTGTAATTACTATGCAAACTATACAAATAAACCAACAGACTCTTCGAGTTTTTCAAGAATTCTACGAAACCGTAGCGTGGCGGCCTGTACACAGCCAGCCAGAATCTTTCCGTCTAAACCACAGCCAGTTGCTGCTCCTCTCTGCTGCTTCAGATAAGTTATTTACTGTGCGACGCAACTCTTGGCCACTGAATCCGACGTCTCTGAGGAACCGGGTTGTAGAGTGTGCCACAAATCCTTGACAACCCACTTCCACTGGATAAACCTGGACTCTCCATCCTCGCTGTTCTGCTTCAGTGGCCAGATGAGCATACCGCAGTTTCTTCCTCTCATATGCCTCATCTACAGCATGCCTCATCTGCCTCATCTATAGTATTATGGCCTCATACGTTTTTACTAAATAACATGTTTTTATTATATGTAATGCAATTCCAATTCAACTGCAATGTACACTCCTAATTGAACTGTCTTTTATCACAGAGACAGTGTGTGTGCATTTTTTTTATGTTTATGTTTTTGTGTTTCTTGACTGTAGGGAACTATCATATCAAAAACCGCAATGGAAAACTACAAAGAATATGGTCCTACTTTGTTTAAGATGTCAGTGCCATTAAGTCCCGCTAAAAGACTTGGTGTTCCTGAGGAGGTATCTTATAACCTATCATGATGTTGACATTTTGAAATAGCAGAAACTAATCGAAGATCAGAACATAATAACTGCTTCTATATACTATATAGATAAATCTGTGTGTGTATGTATGTATATGTATGTGTATGTATATACACTCACCTAAAGGATTATTAGGAACACCTGTTCAATTTCTCATTAATGCAATTATCTAATCAACCAATCACATGGCAGTTGCTTCAATGCATTTAGGGGTGTGGTCCTGGTCAAGACAATCTCCTGAACTCCAAACTGAATGTCAGAATGGGAAAGAAAGGTGATTTAAGCAATTTTGAGCGTGGCATGGTTGTTGGTTCTAGACGGGCCGGTCTGAGTATTTCACAATCTACTCAGTTACTGGGATTTTCACGCACAACCATTTCTAGGGTTTACAAAGAATGGTGTGAAAAGGGAAAAACATCCAGTATGCGGCAGTCCTGTGGGCGAAAATGCCTTGTTGATGCTAGAGGTCAGAGGTGAATGGGCCAACTGATTCAAGCTGATAGAAGAGCAACTTTGACTGAAATAACCACTCGTTACACCCGAGGTATGCAGCAAAGCATTTGTGAAGCCACAACATGCACAACCTTGAGGCGGATGAGCTACAACAGCAGAAGACCCCACCGGGTACCACTCATCTCCACTACAAATAGGAAAAAGAGGCTACAATTTGCAAAAGCTCACCAAAATTGGACAGTTGAAGACTGGAAAAATGTTGCCTGGTCTGATGAGTCTCGATTTCTGTTGAGACATTCAGATGGTAGAGTCAGAATTTGGCGTAAACAGAATGAGAACATGGATCCATCATACCTTGTTACCACTGTGCAGGCTGGTGGTGGTGGTGTAATGGTGTGGGGGATGTTTTCTTGGCACACTTTAGGCCCCTTAGTGCCAATTGGGCATCGTTTAAATGCCACGGCCTACCTGAGCATTGTTTCTGACCATGTCCATCCCTTTATGGCCACCATGTACCCATCCTCTGATGGCTACTTCCAGCAGGATAATGCACCATGTCACAAAGCTCGAATCATTTCAAATTGGTTTCTTGAACATGACAATGAGTTCACTGTACTAAAATGGCCCCCACAGTCACCAGATCTCAACCCAATAGAGCATCTTTGGGATGTGGTGGAACGGGAGCTTCGTGCCCTGGATGTGCATCCCACAAATCTCCATCAACTGCAAGATGCTATCCTATCAATATGGGCCAACATTTCTAAATAATGCTTTCAGCGCCTTGTTGAATCAATGCCACGTAGAATTAAGGCAGTTCTGAAGGCGAAAGGGGGTCAAACACAGTATTAGTATGGTGTTCCTAATAATCCTTTAGGTGAGTGTATATACACTGAACAAAATTATAAACGCAACACTTTTGTTTTCACCCCCATTTTTCATGAGCTGAACTCAAAGATCTAAGACTTGTACACAAAAGGCCTATTTCTCTCAAATATTGTTCACAAATCTGTCTAAATCTGTGTTAGTGAGCACTTCTCCTTTGCCGAGATAATCCATCCACCTCACAGGTGTGATCAAGATGCTGATTAGACAGTATGATTATTGCACAGGTGTGCCTTAGGCTGGCCACAATAAAAGGCCACTCTAAAATGTGCAGTTTTACTGTATTTTACTGTACCCGACAAAAAAAAAAAAAAAGGTTGTTAATTGTGGCCTGTGGAATGTTGGTCCACTCCTCTTCAATGGCTGTGCGAAGTTGCTTCAGTCAACAACCTGTTCTGCTCAGATCCTTAATATTTAATATGGATAATAATATATAAAATATTTATATATTTCTATCAGATATCACCAGCTGTATGTTTCTTGCTGTCTCCGGCTGCCAGCTACATTACTGGAGCAACCCTGAAGGTCGATGCAGGACAGAGCCTATACCACTCTGTGTGGGAAATCCCAGGTACCCATATTTGAGCCGGATGAGACCATAACACATGCTGTATTTGTTTAGAAATCAAGGACGGATGTTGACTCACTATGAGTATGCAAATGCTTTCTGTTTCTGTTTGTGTCTCTCTGATCAGACCACAGTGCCTGGCCTCCAGCCCCAGATGGAGAAAATACAGACACACTGATAGAAATCATGAAAATGACCAAATCCAAGCTGTGAATCATAACAAAACAAGTCTAGACTGTCAAACAGCTGCTCTTCATCACAGCGTGGGTGGAGCACAAGTGTTTTTTTTCTTTGCTAGGAATTGTAACGCGTCTCGACTGTGGCTTTTGAGTGATGCTCACTGAATTTTAGCATTATCATTGCATAATTAACCTCTAATAGTTCTTGATTATGTGCTTAATCAATGTAAATATGTGTAATAATATGATATTGTGAATATAACATTTGTAATTGTGAGATTTCTAAAAAAGAACATGTACCAACTGTCACGTGAGATTACAAATATGTAATGTATTGTTTAAGAAAATAAAGTTTCTGTTGAAACAACTTTTAAGCAATTGTATCAGTTTGCTGGGTCATTTCTGATATAAAGTATAGCTTTTTATCTGAGTAACAGTAAAAAAAAAAAAAAAAACACTTATATACCATACTTTCAAAATTATGCTAGTAGACACTTACATTTTATTAAATATAGTTTGATTATTTACACTATTGTAAGAAAATGAACATGATCCTTTAACCGTTTTGTTGTTTCCACAGAAATACCCACCAAAAATGTCCATCCTGATGTTGACTTTTGTTAATTAAAGTGATATTATAAAAGAGAAAAATAAAAATTACATTTAAGATTAATGAAAAACAAATACATTACCGGAAGCGATGTTCTCAAGAAAACATATTTAGATTAAATTATTTGTATTAGAAAAAGGAAAATAATTTAGTAAAATCTAGAATATTTCTATTTTAAATGACCAGGTTAGGAAAAATGTAGACAATTTTATCATTTAAAACCAAAGTGGTGAAATTATGAATGAGTGCTATCCAGACATGGTAATGTCATGTGGTACTTTTTGCTCGTGTTTTAAAAATATAAAATCAGCTGTTATTAAATTGATTATTTTTTAAGTTCATTGTCAGGCGGAATTAATGATTAATCGGTTTTGTTGGCATCTTACTCGGAGTCGGAACAACATATTTAAAAATTGAGGCTCCTACAGAGTGCCGGTTGCTAGGCAGAGCGCCGCATAACTCGAGCATGCGCACTGAGCGCTGAGCGCACGCCGCTGATTGGCTAAACAATGGCATTATCGGTGTGAGGGGGGTTGCGTTGTCCTCGGTGTGGCACTGTCCGAAAAAATAATAAACCAAGCTCCACAATGTTACACGTGGTGAGTCACCCCGAATGAGAACATATTAATCAAGCGACCTCTACAGGCATTTGTTTGAGAATTTATTTAAGGTAAGAACCGTGTATTATCACTTCAGTATTGTGTAAATCAGAAACAGATAGGAAGCTTGGGGTGTGACTTGATATAAACAGTAACATGTCCTAAAATGCGATGTAATGCAATGCAAAGCAACCACAAAGTAACATAATATATAACAGCAGGCTGTTGTGATTTTTTTCCTCTCATACTAGAAGGGAGCATCTTTAAAGGGTGATTGACACACAAAGCAGGTGTGTCCAGCTGCACACTGACATCATACAGGAATTTTGTCCATAGTCATGATGAGCGAAGGGGCATCTGGAGACATCACTGGTTTGGAGCTGGAGGGAGTGATTGGGACAGAGGAGACCCCAGTGAACACGCTTCAGAGATCAGCAGAGGAGGAGGGAACCACCACTCGGAGGAAGAGGAAGAAGAAAAAGAAAGAGATCATCTACCGCTCTGACCTGGAGGATGATGACGCTGGGGAGGGGACCTCTGCGAATGTGGATGGAGCCTTTAGTCCTCCACCTGACGAAGGTGAAAATATGATATCTGCGGGGCGAACTGTATTGTAATGTTTGTGCAAGTGCAGTGAAATTCGTCATTTGTTTGTTTGCTGTAATGGGTTTAAATAGATAATGGTTACGTGTGCTTTCTATCCAGAATAGACCAGATTGAGACCATGAGTAATTGTCCTCATTTTAAATATTACACGATTTTATACTCGATGATCATTTGATGTCAATTATCTATATTGTTCTACAAATATTTTTTTTCCCCCAGACAGATCAGAAAGGCCTGCAATGTCAGGGAATTATATATTTGGGATTTACACGTTGGAAAATGTAGAAACATTGGTAGTATATAAAAATGTACAATTTAAAAGTTTTGGGTCTGCCATCCATCCATCCATCCAAAAATGACAGTAAAGACATTTGTAATGTTATAAAATATTTCTCGAGCACCGAATCAGCATTTTAGAATGATTTCTGAATGATAATGTGACTGGAGTAATGATGCTGAGAATTCAGCTTTGCCATCACAGGAATAAATTTTTAATATCATTTGTAATACTGTTTTATTGTAGTTTTGACCAAATAAATAGCATGCATTTTTGAAAGACTTCTTTCAAAATATTTAAATAAATAAAAAATCTTACTGATCCCAACCTTTTGTACAGTAGTGTATAATTATTCATTGGTCAAAAATTATAAGCAGTTAATATATTCAGTTTTTGTATGTAAAAGTACATTTTGTTAACAGAATATAAATGTAATATATTATTAGTTATGAAATAAATGCTTGATTTCTGTAATTAGTAACTAGTGAGTGTAATTTAATTCAAGGCACGGTTTTCGTGTCTGCTGGCATGCACTGTATCCCACATCCCAGTGTTTTTCTTGTAATGCATTTCCTCTTTTCTTTCCCACTCAACAGATTTATTTATAAGTATGTGTTGTTAATGCAATATTCTCCTCAAAATGTATCTTTCATTCACAGAAGAAGAGGATATCCCTCCTGACAGCCGTTTCGTGACCCTGACTGGCACCATCACACGAGGAAAGCGGAAAGGCCAAATGGTGGACATCTATATGACCCTTACTGACAAAGAGCTGAGAGACATGGCTCGATCCAAAGAGCGTTTAGATGCAGAATGTGATGGGCTCGAGGAAGCCAAGCAAAAACCCTGCGCGCTGGGGGTCAGCCAGGGCCCTCATGTTCTTCTCTGGAGCCTTTCCTGCTCCCCGTTCATCTTCCTTCTCTCTTTCATCACGTCGTTTTACTACGGAACGCTCACCTGGTACAACGTCTTCCTGGTTTACAATGAGGAACGCAGCTTTCTGCACAAGATCACGGTGTGTCCCTTGCTCATTCTGTTATATCCGGTTCTGATCATGGCGTTGTCTCTTTGTATGGGGGTGTACGCCGCCGTGACCCAGCTCTCCTGGGTGTTTGGGGAATGGTGGCTGGCGGTGAGGGACCTGGAGAAGGGCTTCTGTGGGTGGATGTGTGGAAAGATGGGGTTGGAGGACTGCGCCCCGTACAATGTGGTTGAGCTGCTGGACTCTGACACTCTCTCCGGGACCCTCCGGGGGAAGAGGATGGATGATGTTGAACACACTTCTACTTTGTGAACGCAAAAACATGGAATAACGTTCTGGGTTTAATATAAATTAAGCTCTGTCAACAGCATCTGTAGCATGCTGTCGATTTTAATTTTTTTTTAACTTATTTTGCTCAGGAAAAGCAAACAAGTCAAAATGATTTTCGATAGCTTTTAACTTCTTTTCAATCCCGAGCCTTCATTTAAATGGATAGATCACCAAAAAAATAAAATTCTGTCATTTTCTCACCCTCATGTTGTTGCAAAACTGTATGACTTTATTTTGTTCTGTGTAATATAAAAGAAGATATTTTGAAGAATGAATATTTTGAAAGAACCAAACCATTTTGTTCCTATTGACTTCCATATGGACAGAAAATATTGAAACATTTATCAAAAAATCTTCTTTTATGTTCCACAGGAGAAAAAATGCCACACAGTTTTGGAACCACATGAGGATGAGTAAATGATGACAGAATTTTCATTTTGGGATGAGCTTTAAGGCAAGTCTTTAATTTTAAATTTTGCACAGTTTTATTAATTTGTACATGTTGTTAGGAAATCATATATGATTTAGTCTTATCAAACATCACAAAATCAATTAAATACAGGGCCAAGTTACTCTAAGAATTCAGGATATTATCTTTCCATATCAAATGTAAAAAAAAAAAAAAAGGAATAATGGATTGCTATACATTTGCTATACATTTGAATACCAAAAACTTTTTTTTTTTTTGTGATGCAGTTCATTATGATATCCAAAAGCAATTTTTTAAATCATTTGTTTCAGAACATAAATCAAACTATTTTTAATTCATTAAATGAGCACTATGGGCGTTTTCTCATTTAGGTTTACATAGTACAGTGCATAATTTTTTTTTTTTTTTAAACTGCATAAATGTGCCCAAAACGGTGGTAAGCCTGTGAAAATGATTTATATTCAGAGCTCTCAAGTTTGATTTGGCTGAAAATTCCAGGCTTCCAGATTATATCCTTGCATGTTTACAAAGAAAAAAAAATATTTGGCAGATATGCTTCTTACATTCTTATACTGTACATATTTTCCAGATACGTATAAGCCTTGTTAGGACAATCTTACTGTCAGTGATCTTAATCACTCAGATTTGCTCTGATATGGTTATGAAAGGCAACTTTAGCTATAGCCTACATCCAACCATCAGATTCATCTGAGCAGAAGAGTGGAGCACAACTGATGGAAAATAAATAAAATTGCAAGTTACTTGCAGAGGAACATTGTTTTTGTTTTCAACCACAGATTTCAATGGAGAGCCATGGTACGGAAGTCCTGAACCGCAACGTAAAAAAATTAATAAATCCGTAAAAAATATAATAAATTCTAGCATTTAGAGATTAAAGTCGAAATATTTCGAGAATAAAGTCGTACATAGAAGTTCTTAATTAATTATTTTTTTGTAAAGAAATGCACTCGTGAATTCAAACTGCTTCTGCCATGGATCTAAATTATAATAGTAGCTTTTTACTTTTATCTGGGCTTCTAACAAAAGGAAATTCTACAGGTGCTAATCTAACAACATGGCATTACCATTTGTTTTAGGACGCCTAGACGAGCACGAAGAACTACTGAATATTTCTCGTAATTTTAACTTTATCCTAAAAATATTACGACTTTATTCTCGAAATGTTTCGACTTTATTCTCGAAATGTTTCGACTTTAATCTCGAAATATTTTGACTTTATTCTCGAAATGTTTCGACTTTATTCTCGGAATATGTAAAAAAAAAAAAAAAAACTTACTTTTTTTTTACGTTGCGGTTCAGGGCTTCCGTTGGTAGAAGTATTAGAAATATTCTAAGTATTTACCTTTGTCATGCATTATACACATTGCACAGCTGAAAAGCAGCAAATGTTTCTTCTCTTACGATGTTCTCAAGCTATCTGACCAATACTTGCACTTGAACCAACAAACAACATTTTACACTCTAAGCAGACAAATGCTTTTACACTTTGAATACTTTTATTATTATTAATTTTTTCATATTGTTTTTGTATGTCCCAAATCACATAACTGTTGTGTTAGTGTTTGAAACAGTGTGGTGCTTTGTGTTTTTACAGGTGTAACAACAATGGTGCTATAATAGTGTTCACCAAGGATATCAGCCATTAAAAACCACAAACTGGTTTACACACATTAAGGATAATGGTTCTGTTGTCCCAGAAGATCATGTTACGATTTCAAAAACCTTTTAACAGAAAATTCACTGATCATTGGGTACACCTAATTCAAATGGTGTCAATTATAGTACTCATATCCTCTTCATATACAGTCATCATTTACAACTTCATCTGTTGTTTATGGAGGCACGTATTGTAAAATAATTAAATGCAGGGTTCCCACGGTCATGGAAAACCTGGAAATATCAGGGAATGTTAAAATCGTTCGAAAATTCATGAGAATTAATAAAAAGCTATGAAGATTTTGTTTACTAGAAAATGCTCTTGTCTGATTGTGAGTGAATTATTCTTTTGAGTCACAAATCTGAAAAATTATACATATAGCCTATAAAAACTCTTATCCCGTAAAAAAGTGTGGGAACCCTGTACATTACAAACTATCTTACCAGAGATCTATTCTAATGCATATGATCTGCATAATTTGAAGTCTGTATATTCAAAAAATGTACAATATGTAAAGACAATTTTGTTAAAAAGTTGAACATTTATATCTGAAATATTCAATCTGATTGCTTTAAAATATGCAAGTATTAGAAGCTCTCAAATTATACTGTATTAATTCTGCAAATAAGCAGGTTTGATGTAAACCACCTTTTTAAATAAGTAATTGTAATCATCAATAGGTTCAATCTGTTGGACAAGAGATTCTTGGCTCTTTTTGTTTATCTTTGGGAACTTTTCCAACTGCTATGCTGTAGGCTACAATAAACACTCAGCATGCCGCTGATAATAAAAGACCTTGACCTGTTTTTTGCAGTTAGGCCAGCCTTAAACTGTTCTACAATGAACACTTGAATGACATTATAAAATGTTGTCTTCTGGCACAAAGTAGCCTGTTTTTCTGTAAACATGGTTTCAAAGCACAAACTTAGTTTTTTTAAATCATGACCTTGATAAATGTTTTGTTTTCACACTTGTGCACTGGGTGTGTACCACAGTTATTTCATTTTCAACACTTTATAATAAAGGATTTTATCTCATTTGTTTCAGTTGTATAGTTTTCCTTTCAGACTTAGTCAAAGTTTTTGCAGATCTCACACATTGTCAAAGGTGTGCCTCAGACAGTGCTCTATAATTACCAATCCTTTAAAAAAAAATGTATCATTGTTGACTGTCAACAAGCATCCCCTCCCTTATGACCATCCCAGATCTAATTCAACCAGTCTGTTACAGAATTAGCACTAATGAAGTGTAACGAGAGAGAAATGAGTAAATAGCCTCATCATCTGAATGAATGAATGATCTATCTAAACGAAACTATAGTTCTTGTTCGAGAAGGGGAGTGGTTTATTGGTAGGTCTGTAAGAGGCTACTTTCGCTTTTAGTTTTTTTTTTCTTTTCTTTAGGAGACGACGAGATGAAGCCACACAGCGTCAAAGGTATTCTCGTCAAACGATATGTCTTTCTTTCTCTCTGTTCGTTGTAATGGGATGTTTTTTAATAGCCTAATACTTTATAATTTTAACTTTGTTTATTTATAGTTCCATACAATGCGTAGTTGCACACGTACCAGTTAAAGGCGAATTGCTGGTTGTTCTAAGAATCCGAATAGCCGTATTTTGTTTGACGCATGACGCAGTGAACAACATGGGTAACTAACGCTGGTTTATCGCTACATAGTGGCGTAGTTTGTGCTTTTCGATTGTAGTTCAATCTAATTTTAAAGGTGGTTATAGGTGTTGCCATTTAAACATTAGCTCCTCCCTCTAAAACATGGTAAACGGACACGTATGCGTTCGATCTCTCAAGATGTCAATGTTCATATTAAACCATTCTTTTTAATCGGATCGAATTCGATTGAACCTTTTTAGTGATGACGTAAGATCTGTTTTTGTGAAACGAACAGTTCCAAAGAACCGAAATGCAGAAGAAGTCTTACGCCTTTATGATAACTATTTAAAACACGCCGGAAATGTATGCGTGGGGGTGAGCGCGAGTTTCGTGAACGTGAGTTAGGTAATGTGAGACGCTGTGGGAAAGTTTGTGAACGTAACCTAAACTCCTCACGGGAATCCCCTTCAAAATTGTTTGTGGTGCTTTTGTCCCCCCCCCCCCCCCCAAGTGGTCAATGCAAACCAACATGCAATATAGCTACTGTTTCTTTATGTAGATGTTTAAATGCAATTGTTTAGTGGGGATATCCAGGGACTTTCTATTCTATATGATTTCATTTTGAGCTAACATTACCTCTCTTTGTTCCACCTTTCTTCTCTTCCTTTTTCTTTCATTGTCTCCAGGAGATAAGCCTCTCTGCAGGCATCACCACCAAAGCTTTTGGCCTTCAAAACTGTAAGTGCTTTGACACTTACAAGTGTAACTCCAAGTGGCCGTTGATTTCTACAAGAATGTGATGAATGAGGCTGCGGTGGATTTTTTTCCTCTTTGTCAAGATAAATGCAATTTTCATTCAATAATTTCTTCCAAAAAAATACAAATATATTTTTCCTTTTTTCTACTGTTTTTCCGGACTTGACAAATAGATGTTTAAAATTGCCTACTCCCAGCTTTTAAAATGACCCAAACTATAACCTACAGCATCTATACAGGCTCATACAGTGAAATGGCGGATAGATTTTCTATCATGGTTCACAATGTCATCGCAGATCTTAACAATGAGGAGTGTAGGATCCTCCGGTACCTTTGTACAGATTTGTTCACCAACAGCTGTATGGAAGATTTGAGAGGAGCTTTGCTGGCCTTTGCCAAACAGAGACAGAACCAAGCGGGTCAATCTCAGGCTGTTGATGCCCTGCTGATGGAGCTCATGTTCCGAATTAAGCGCTTTGATGTCCTAAGGAAAGTTTTTGGCACCAACAGACAACAGGTAGAAAGAATTCTGCAGGAGGGAATGGCCCTCTCAGATTACAGGTAATTTATCATATACATTTTTCCATGTCTGAAAATATGTATGGTAATGGAAAGTTTTATTTTAGAGCCTGACATTATGTTTTTGGCGTTATTAGAGCAGTCTCTTGGGTAAAAACCCAAGCAGAAATACCCATGATATGGGTATGTTATTTTCACTGATTGCTGATCTCATTTCCACAGGGTTCTAATGGCAGATGTGAACGAAAACCTGGACAAGGAGGAGTTACAATCTCTTATCTTTCTCCTGAACAGTATCCTACCCAAAGAAAGAATGGCTAGAGCTACAGTAAGACTGGAGAAATTACACGTTTAACCTTCAGAATGTTTGTACTAAAAAATAATTATACTAAACTGAACATAAATATGCATATGGCATAATAAAGTCCAAAAATCTACCACTTTTCTGGGATTTGTTATGTTCATGTTTGTCTCATTGCATTTGATATCTTATAGAGCTTTCTAGATGTGGTGGTGGAGTTGGAGAAGTTAGATGAAGTATCTTGTGATAAGCTAGACCTGCTTGAACGGTGTTTGAGGAACCTTAAAAGAATGGACCTTGTCAAAAGGATTCAGGCCTACCAGAAAAGAGGTCAGTCATTTGTGAGGTCACGTTTGTTTGGTCAACTGCTTGTCTGCAGAGAAAAATGCACTGCAAGGTTTATGCAACATCTGGTTACAGCTTTTGATTTGACTATGCAAAACTTAATTCTGCTATTGAAACATGCATTTAAAAAAAACACCATGTTGCCCTTAAAGGAGTAGTTCACTTTTAAAAAAACTTTTGCTGATAATTTACTCACCCCCATGTCATCCAAGATGTCCATGTCTTTCTTTCTTCAGTCGAAAAGAAATTAAGGTTTTTGATGAAAACATTCCAGGATTTTTCTCCATATAATGGACTTCCATGGGAACCAGACGGTTCAAGGTCCAAAAGACAGTTTCAGTGCAGCTTCAAAGGGCTTTAAACGATACCAGACGATGAATAAGGGTCTTATCTAGCGAAACGATTGGCCATTTCAAAAATAAATAGAAAAGTTGAAGTTTAAAAAGCACAAAAATGCTGGCCTTGCTCTGTTCTGTGATGCACGTTCGTGACTCTCCTGCTCGAACTCGTTCATCAAAATGAACGAATCTTTTTTCGAGTCATTTCGTTCATTTCGTTCGTTGAATGAACGAAATGACTCGAAAAAAGATTTGTTCATTTTGATGAACGAGTTCGAACAGGAGAGTCACGAACGTGTATCATTTGTGCTTTTTAAACTTCAACTTTTCTATTTATTTTTGAAATGACCGATCGTTTAGCTAGATAAGACCCTTATTCATCGTCTGGTGTCGTTTAAAGCCCTTTGAAGCTGCACTGAAACTGTCTTTTGGACCTTGAACCGTCTGGTTCCCATGGAAGTCCATTATATGGAGAAAAATCCTGGAATGTTTTCATCAAAAACCTTAATTTCTTTTCGACTGAAGAAAGAAAGACATGGACATCTTGGATGACATGGGGGTGAGTAAATTCTCAGCAAAAGTTTTTTTAAAAGTGAACTAATCCTTTAAGAACCTAGAACATTTTGTACATTATACCCGCAAAAGTCTCTCACGGTCTCAAAGTTCATTTTCAAAGCCAAAGTTTATTTAAAGGTGCTCTAAGCGATGTCACGCGTTTTTTAGGCCAAAACATTTTTTGTCACATACAGCAAACATCTCCTCACTAAACCGCTGGCTGCCTGTCCCCTGAACACACTGTAAAGAAACGCGATCTCTGTAGACAGCCCAGGCTCCACAAACAGCAACAAAAACAAACTGGGCTAACCCGCTCCACGAAACATGACAAACAGTTCCAGCCAATCACCGACAAGAAGGACTTGGGGGCGGGATTTGGGGGGTTAGTGCGCGGATCAGGAGGAGGGAGGGTCTAGCTAGCCTCCGTTTTGTTTGACAATACTTTAAACGTCAACAAGAAGTGACGTCACCCGACATCGCTTAGAGAACCTTTAAAAAAAATTAAAATCATGGTTGAAATTTATTAGATGTGTGTGTTTTTTTTTTTTATGGCTCTGGTTACCAAACTTGAGCGGCAAGTACATTTAAAAAATTTAATACATAATTAAATGTACTTGAGCGGCAAGTACATTTAAAAAATTTAATACATAATTAAATCTACAATATTTATTTATTCAGGTCAAAATGTACAATGTGCAGTCCCTAAAGTTCAGAATTCCTTTAAGGTAAGACAATTTTAGAAAAAAATAAAAATCTTATATCTTTCCAATAGAATACAGTATGTTAAATGATGATGATAATTTTACTTACTATATCTCTATATTTCTCAATTTCAGTTCACACCTGGGAAGTGTCAGTCTTCTGTTAAACCAGTGAGACGATCACAATGCTGTTCTCAAGGTGAGATTTTCATTTTCAGTCTTCATTTTTAGTTTTAATTAAGATCCTACGGATAAAATAACAGAATTGCCTTTGGTCTTTTTCTAGAGTTAAAAAATTTGAAGCTTTCGGTGCCAGAAACCGGGACACAACAACAACCGGTAATAAATCGGCTTCTCACTAATTAATAAATAGTCATCGTGACAAACCCTAGCATTTTTTTCTGATGGTTATTTTATTTATGAATAGGTTATAAGATATTCCTCCCACTGTCTATATGTCTGCTAGGCTTTTGTGAAGGAGTATCAAATAAATCCTGAGCAGAGAGGCCTTTGTGTGATTATTGACTGTGTTGGCTTTGATGGAAGTAAGTGTGTGTGATACAGGTTTTGACCCTTTACCAATTATGAATGTTATAATCCATTATAGTGTCATTTAATACTGAAAACATAATCTGTTTTTAACCCATTGGTTTGTTAGGGAAACTTTTTTTTTTTTTTGCAGAAAAAACACAAAATGACATCATAATGTTTGCCCACAGGGGAAGGCTGTATTTTTTTTTTTTTTTTTTTTTTTAAATCCCATTTTCCACCCACAATGTTCTAAAGAAATTGCCGTTTTCATTGGGGTTTTGTTTTCCCTTTTAATTACAAATTAGGAAATGTGAGAACAGAAAAGACTTTGTAGATCATTATAATGTGTTCTTGCGCAAAACATCCGCATCTAAACGTCTACGCTGTTTGTGTCCTTTCAGAGATGTTGAATCAGACATTTGAGCGTCTGGGTTTCAGGGTCATTTTCCATTCTCTCCTGGGTCTGAAAGAAACCCAGAAGGTCTTGGAAGACATGACTCGCAACAGGAGCATTCAGAAGTTCAACCGCTTCGTCTGCTGCCTCATTAGCAGGGGAACGGACACTCATCTGTTGGCTACAGACTCGAACGGCCTGGGCATCAGCCTGGAGGATCTCAGGCAGCTTTTCAGCCCAAACCAGTGTCCTTCACTGGGTGGGAAACCCAAACTGTTCTTCACCCAGATCTACAGGACAACAGAAGCCCCTCCGACACCCTCAATGGATGATGAATACCTTGAGACGGATGGACCAAAAGGCCAGTATTCGGGGAGGCAGTGTGCGGGCAAGAGGACTGTCCCAGTGTCAGCGGATGTCCTTTGGAGCGTGTGCACAGCAGAGGCGAAACTACTGGAAGATTCTGGCCACCAGTCGGTTTACCTGCATGCATTACACATTGCCTTATTGAGGGGGCATGAGAGGTACTTTATGAACCTTTTACCTGCTATCTTAAAGAGCCACTGTTCAGTCCATTATTGCTTGTAACCAGACATTTAACACTGCAGTAACCGTAAAAAAAAACACACCGTACATGCTAAATCATTTTCAGTTCTGCTTTTGTAGTTTCACTCAGAAGAACAATTCTATAATTCAAGTCCCCTTATTCAGTTTTTTTCCCCTTACATTTGCAGAAAGAGCCCTATATTGGACATCATGACGGAGGTGAACAGAAACGTGTTTAGTCACAATCAGCAGAATCCTGAGAAGACGTATCAACTTCAACTCTCTCACACACTACGGGAAACTCTTTACTTGTAACACGTAATGTTTGCTACACAACACATTCTGTCCCTTTCTCGCACAGACACTCTACTTGTTTTAGAATAGAATTGTTAGTGCACACAACTATCCATATACACAGAGCTTCATACTGCCATAATCTATTGTTCTCATTGCATGTTTTTATTTATTAATATTTTTATTTATTTGTGAAACTTTATCGCTGTTGCAGCTATTAGTGTTCTGTGTTGCAGTCACAGTGTCTCATTATTTAACCTAAGAAGAATACCATCAGTCATTGGTCAACCTAAATTAAGTTTTTCTATAGCACTTCTCAAAATACTTAGTGTCAGAGCAGCTGAAAATCATGTTTATATACTAAAAAGGAGAAAAGCAGAGGTGGCAAGCAAAACAACTCTATGAGATGTTTGGGTGACGAGGGAGAAAATTAGAACTTTTAGGAACTAAACCTGGAATGACAATGAATGTACATGTGATAAATATATAGTCATATATCATATGTTGTAGTAATAGTCATGTGTTCATTGAATACATCTTTAATATGTATGACTTAAGACAGATTAGGCTATATCCTTATTGTCTCCTAATTTTCAACTAAATGTTTTGTGATTAATGAGCGTGACCGATAACTCAAGTACAGTACTGCATAGCTAAACTAAATTAAGTTTCTCTAGGAATAGTTCAGAGTAGTTGCTTTTATATTTTAATCCATTAACGTTTGTGCATAAAATAAAGAAAATTCTTAGTGTAACCTCGGTATATTTATAATATCCAATAAACACTGAATATCAAATTATTTAAACTAATATCTATTTGTCATTTTATCACTTGTCATATTTATGTAGCCTAATTCATAACCCCCTTTCTTATCACCTCAGAGATATAAGTAGCCTACTAATTGGTCTTGTAGAATTTCAGTGAAGGAACTGGATGATTTGTATTTGCAAATGATGAATGAACCAAATGTGAAAAAAGTGACCCGCGTTAAAATATAATTCGTTACGGTTGGCAGGAGAAAAGTTTATAGTATTATGATTAAAAATGTCATTAGCTCAATGTAAGAATACACTGACTTTGTGTTTTACTTGAGATCCTACAAATAAAAGACCAGATTTGATTACATTGAATTTGAGGTTTGATTTCTTGTCTTTTCTTTTTTCAATGATTTCATCACGCGAGCAGTGTCATTTGTCACCATCTACAAATCATTCAATCATTTGTCACCATCTACAAATATAACTGGATAGCATAATATAATAAACATCTGTTTCACTTCAAGAAACGATATAAATTTGAACAAAGCATTCTGCAAAATATATATTTTTTAAAACTGAACTAGCAGGCCTCTTTTCCCCTCCACCAGGGGGCGCTTAAAGTAAGTTTAAGAAAGTAGGTTTTGAATTTTACTTTGCTTAGTGTTTTAGAAACTACATTTACAAATGAAACTTTGTTCAACAGTTTAAAAAGATCTTGAGTTTTCACCTCTTGCACAACCATAGCTTTCGGCAGAAATGAAACTTGGGCTTTACCCTTTTTCCAGTTTAAAGAAAAGTGATATTAAAATTTGTGTTTACAATTCCACCACTAAATGTAACAACCTTTGCACAACCAGTTCTCAACTAATATGTAATGTTAGACCTTAAGGCTCTATTTTTATAGCCTATATCATGTGAGAAAAGAGCCTGAGGTTTCATAATAAATAAATAACTTTGCTGTGTTCATATTTTAGGATTTTATTTTTTCCAGTTCAAAGAGTGATTTTTCACAACGTAAGAGGCTACAATTGCACAACAAAGATGTTCCTTTCATACAAAATTAATTGGTCGTGATCATTTAATTTAGCATAGGAGCAAAATTAACAAGAGAAAAAAGATTACTGGAAAAAGATTTAGGCAATTCAGTTCAGATGAAAAATGCCTTGGTGTTGATCATAAGTTGATGAAACATGGAAGATGAATGAATTTTAATTGAAATAAAAAAACAAAACAATGGTTGTAAAATTAGACAAGCTTATACTTTTGTTTCACAGCCTTAAATTTGTATCATATTCAACACACCATCTATCCTTCTTGATTAAGGTCCATTAGGATAATTCCATTATCCAGAATTCCTGTGGATTGCCTTCAGTAAAATAAAAATGATATATGATATTGACTACAATTACTGTAAGTAGTGGTCGGTGATATCAAAATGAAAGCATGTGAAACTAATATCTAAAGAAACAAAATATTTACACATGAGACTGCTTCAAAATATTAATGTGTGATCCATGTTTACAAAACTGCAGTTTAAAAAAAACAAAAACCTTTGGCTCAGTTGTCAGCTGATGGAAGTCAGGCTTCTCATGACTTTAGCATTGTGGAACTGAAACGGTAGATGTAGAAAATGTTTGCTTTTATAAGCAAATACCACTTTTTTATCTCTATACGATCAGTCTTCCTTCCTTTTCTGCGTTTTTCTACAGCAGCGTCTCCAGCACAGACCACAGCATTTAAATGTTACTAGAGTTACAATCAGTACAATAAAGAGCAGAAAGCCAATCACATCCAGGCTGTGGTACTGAAGCCAGTTGAGGTCATGGGCAGCAGGTCTCAGATGCTCGGCCCCCTTGTGTCTCATAACAAACTCTGTCCAGTACACAGCGAGATCCAAGGGCTGGATGGGACGGTCATTGTGTATGGCCGACAGCTTCTCCATTTTTTGCTTATAGCTACAGAAGACAGCAAGAGAGATGCATTGAGATTATGAAAGAGAAAAAAAAAAACATGAAAAAAATGATGTTCAAACAGTCACCTGCTGTCATTAATAACTGCATTGAGAGCATCGACCAGTGTTTGTACAGTGATGTCATGGATGTTGAGGATCACTCCCACCCCTCGAGTTGCAACGCGGTGCACGTTGTCACCCTGGTCACCAAAAAGGGGAAGCATCACCATTGGAACACCATGACAGATGCCCTCATAGATTCCATGCGTCCCACCGTGAGTGATAAAGGCTTTTGCTTTGGGGTGACCTTTAATAAATGACATGTGTTAAAGTCACTTATTGCTTTTGACAGGACTAAGTGGATGGTTTATACAGCAGATGATGATGATGATAAAGGCAGTGTTAAAGGGATAGCTCACCTGAAAATGAACATTCTGTCATCATTTACTCACCCTCAAGTTGTTCCAAACCTGTATGAATTTCTTTCTTCTGCTGAACACAAAAGATGATATTTTGAAGAATATGGGTAACCAAACAGTTGATGGACCCCATTGACTCCCATAGTATGGGTAAAAAAAATACTATGGAAGTCAATGGGGCCTATAAACTGTTTAGTTACCCATATTCTTCAAAATATCATCTTTTGTGATGACAGAATTTTCATTTTTGGGTGAACTATCCCTTTAACGTGGGGTCCAAAAGTCTGATTGAGTTTTTTACATTTATTTTTAAAATATTTTTAATTAATTAATTATTATTATTTTTTTTATTTACTTTTTTTGGTATTCAAACCTTATAATGAAAAAATGTAAAACAAGAAGAAGTTTAAATAAAACAAATATTCTTATCAAATAAACAAGTTGTAAACAAGTTGCCATATAAAGAAAATTCTTAGTTTTTCGTATATTCACTTTTGCATCAATTCAACTTTTCACTCAAAGTGTTGTGGTGATCATATCATTTGTAATCAAAAAGTGTATCAAATTAGACGCAAAATGCAAAATAGAAGTCCCTAGCAGCCTTACACCTTTGGATCCCACTGTATAATGAATTGTTCAGTAGTATGTTTTGAGATTCGCATTCGTCATTTATTGATCTTTGCAGGTGAATTTCAAGAGATCAACAGGTGTACAGCCTAGAGCACCATTTTGATTTAAAATTGCCCAGCATTTATACAGCTGACAGATTGCTCATTGGTCCAGCATCAGAGCTAATATAACCACAGTTAATAGGATTAGCTAACATTATGAGTCTGAATGGGTTCTGCTCTCCAGTCATTGCAACCATACCTGACATGCCAGACAAACTAAAGACTTTACACAGCTTGTTTAACAAAAGCTGCTTCTGTGTTCTCGGCTTAATGATCCATGTTGTAGCTGGAATCTGTGGTTGGCTGATCCTTAACTAATCACACAAGGGATAAGCCAAGTGAATCCCTGGATTTCACAATAATAAATGTACCCCCCCCCCCCCCCCCCCCCCAAAAAAAAAAAAAAAAAAAGGGAAACTCACCAAGTAAGTCATTCTGTGGAAGCCACTTCATCAGTTTAACGTTTTCAGGGACATTATCAGGGATCTCACCCGTATACCGCCACAGAACCTAGAAAAAGTGACATTCAGCACACTTTTTTTTTTCCAAAGCAATTTACTGTACAATGACTCCAATGACAGTCCTCCTGAAACTAGTTTATGGACACGTTATACAAGTTATACAATAGTAAAATAATCACAATCCAGTTCACAGTTGAACCAGGTTACCAGACTTGATCTTTAACTACTAGAAGTACCCTTTGTCTGTAATCATTTCAATGTAAGTATGTGGACACTTATGCTATATAATGCTATAAAAATCTATATATTTATATCAAGCCAAATGCATCTGCAAACAATCGAGCTGACCTAGCAGAGTAAAGAAAAGTCTAGATTATCACATTTTCGAAGTTTGACAAACAGAAAATATCCAAATACTCTCAAAAATATAAATGGACTTTTAGAGTTACTGAAAAAGTTACTCAGGTTAACTGATTCAGTGATTCATTACCAGGTAAAAAGTCTTTAAAAAGTGACGGTAAGCTCTTGCTGACAGCAGATTCGTGCTTGGTCTAATAAAAAATACTATCCACTCCAGAAATGCCCCATCCTGGATAGTGCCAAACCCCCCTTTAAGCACGCATGATGACTTTAATGAGAACAAGATGTTCTCCTGGACTTTCTCCCTAGCTATAGCTAAAGCTCTGCGTGCAGCCTCCACTTAGTTATACACTTTAACACACAGGGAAAACAATTGTGTAAGTGGACTCATAAATCCTACAATCCTTAGCAGAGAGATGACTGAACATCTGGGATGCTGAAGAGAATAGGCTCAGGTCACGCACCAGCTCTAAAAGCCTGGCATTAGTACATTTGGGTAGTTGAAAGGATTATTTTACACCTTGTTTGAACACTTAAGTTGCAACAGAATAACTACTATAAGACACTTTGCTTTGCTAAGACCCATTTCTCCCAGTATGTAGTTTTTTTTAAATGTATGCCGTTCCAACTTAAATTCTTTCTTACCCTCTGTGGAATCATACTGAAAGCCTCGAAGAAGATGGCAGCTTTTTCTTTTGGCATGGAAGAGACCAGAGAACCAAGACTGAACACCACAATACCATGCTCTCCAGAACCCTTGACAAATTCCTCCACCTCCTGTAAAAGACGGACAACAAGCCAAAGAATAAGGCAAAATTAACTCATGACACTGTGACATGTATAACTCAACATTGTAAACTAGATATATAGCTGAGAAAAAGCAGACATGTTTACATTATGTACTCACACAGCTTCATAAGCAAGGCCCATTTTATCCCTTAATCAACACCAAAGCATATCTATGTTTTTCTTTCTGGTGTCTTTATAGGCTATATGTGCACACATATTCCACTCATCCACACAAACTGACACAACGTACAACTTATAGTTGTTTTTCTACATGACAGAGGAAAAAAACATAAGAAGTAATTATAATAGTTTTTAAATCTGATTTGATCTCATTTGAAGAATATACTGCAAGTGATTTAAGAATCTATGCTTTAAATGCATAACACAATCACATAGTTTCCAGAGTTTTTTTTAGCTCAGAACTGCTTATTTTTTCAGTAAAAAGAACCTCTGCCTTTGTTTCGGTCCTCACGGAAGGAATGGAGGCTGACAAGTAAAATAACAAAAAGGAAGCAGAGGAGGAGGTTGCATGCCAAAAAATACACGGAACACATCATGTTGCCTTAGGTTAACAATGCCCTGGAGAGGGGAGTCATATTACCATGGGTTATGTTAGGGCAAAGCAACAATGTCAAAACTCAAAAATGGAACCCATATTCCCAGAACCAACACTGACCCCAACCCAAATTTAAAAACAGTGACATAACTTCTTTCCTCCTTAGAAAATCATAGCCTAGAACTAGTAGTTACTCACTACTGAACACGTTTAAGAAATTATATTAACAATGCATTTATAAAAGGCAAAGACCTCATTGTAAAATTGAATTTTTTTAGTATATTTTTTTATCCTGGATAAATATTCTGAATGATCTGATCCAATCTGACCAGTAATGCTGCCCTGAATCATTATCATACACTGTTTGTTCGTTGGCCAGAGGAGAATTGGCCTCCCGACAGAGCCTGGTTTCTCCCAAGGTTTGTTTTTTCCTCTCCATTCTGTCACCTGATGGAGTTTTGGTTCCTTGCCATTGTCACCTTTGGCTTTTGGCTTGCTTAGTTGGGGACACTTACTATTCAACAATATTATTGATCTGCCTGCATTGACACCATTATGAGAACTGAACTGAGCTGGACGACATCACTGTTTTCTCCAGAGCGGCTATATAGCCTATATAAATAAACTAAATTATTAACTTTTTTACAACAAAAATGAACCATCACTGAATTTACTTAAGCTATGATGCTATTTTCTTCTAGATCTGCTGTACAGCAGAAACAAACTCTGTTGCATTATTTACATTATTCTTTATTAATACATTCATTATTACTGTAAAGCTGCTTTGAAACTATCTGTACTGTAAATAGCACTATATAAAAGAAGGTGACTTGACTTGACTTATCCTGACCAAATTCCAAAAAGGCACCTCTGGTGACTTACAGCAGAAAGTAAGGCACTCTTCTGACAGTTGATGCCCCCGATGAGGACCATATTTGGCATGAGAGGTCTGGGGAACTCAAATGTAAAATCATATCTAAACAACCAGATAGCTCCGCGGGAGATGATCTCCTGGTACGTCACATCTGCATCCAGGTATCTTGCAGCAAGTTCATCAAAACTAGAGTACATTATTCGACACAGCACCAGCTCCACGCCACTCATGAAGAAATTCTGAATGCGCTCTACAAAGGTCATTTTGTCAGTGCTGCCAGACTGAAACCGAGGTACGTAGGATGGAGGAGAAGGACACTGTAAAGCCAAAAAGTCAAGGCCGCAAGGTATGCCACGCAGGAAGTAGACAGCAGGGACACCTAGAGCGGTAGCAATAATAGGTCCACATGGCAGGAAGGGATCGGTGAGCACCGCTTCAAAGTTCTCCTCCTTCAGCTTCTGCATTAGAGGTTTGTTGTAAAGCAGCGACTCACATCCTTGCACCTGCGAATCCGTGAAGTTCAGCAGCCGCTCCAATTGGACAATGATGTCCATCATCGCAGGACTACGCTTGAACACACCCTGCTGAAATCCTTTCAAACTGGCGGACAGATCCTCTTTGGAGAGGCTTACCGGGAAGGTTTCGGTGCGGAAGAGCTCTGAACTCTGGATCAAGATGTTGGTCTCAGGCACCAGCAAGAGTATTTCATGGCCTCTCTGGGCCAGTTCGGTCGCCAACACCTTCATGCTGAGCCAGTGGCTGCCTTCAACAGGCATGACCAGCACCCGGCCACCCTCCGCAGGCCTCAGCCAGGCACCCAGCCAGAGCAGCAGCAGCCCTGAACCCAGCCTCCACAACCAGCCCTCCTTCAGCATAACTGGGTCTGCCTAGCCCAGACACAAGCACTGAAAGAAAATGAGAGGAGAGGAGAAAACTCCTCCTCCAGGAAAAGGGGCTGTGTTTAGACTCTCTCGTGTGTGACTGAGAAACAAGAGAGTGAAAGGAAGAACAAGAGGGAATGACATTTATCTGTGTTTTTGGTTGCAGATGTTAATCATGCAAATGATGGAAGGCAGTCAGGATGCCATCCCGTTTCGCCAAAAAAACATTTCCTGAAAGGAGTAACATGCATCTACACAAATCCAATTCTTACAAGAAGAGACAGCACTGTTAAAAATAAATCAACTGGTGTTTTACAAATCTGCGAATTTTATATCCCGTGACCAAATGCCAACTTTATTCATTACAGTTAAGAGACTGAGGTCTTTAAACACTTAAATACAAAATTAAAAGCAGAACCCGCATTTGTACACGTCCAAATACATCACAGTTCTTTGGCGGGGATAACTATGGATTTAGCATTTAGCATCTGAAACCGTTCCTAAGTAAAGTAAGACAACTCAAAGACTAAGTTACAAGCAGCTGAATAAACTCAAGAGCATAAGGAGGAAGCAATGTAACTCCCACCAGCACCTCCCCCTTCCCCTCAAACCCAGCTCGCGTGAGAAGTTCGCCACTCCTTTGCTTTCAATCTCCTCGTGTTCAAGAGATAGCGTGACTAACAATACACCCCCACATGCTTTTTAAATAGCATTCCATAACATTCATATCCACATAGGGTACTTTGCTAACAAAGAGAAACAAACTATATATTTTCTTCAAATTAGTAAGGCAATATTAACACTCTAGTAACTACTATTTACTAAAAAGAAACTCTGATTAAACAATTAAGTAAGTAATAGTGCTCAGTCAAATGTGGTAGTTTACTATTAGCTAAAGAATAAAAAAATTGTTCATATCTCCCAGAGGACTACTACAAACTACTATATATAGGTTCATAATTAATGTGAGTAATGTATAATTAATTCTAAAGTGATTCATTCTAATCAGAGTTTCTTGTTAGTTAATTGTACTTGAATGTTAATCGTGTGTTGCTTTTTTGTTCCTGTGTTATTCATTAATGACGGAACAGTATTCTAAAGTGTTACCAAGTTCTTAGATGAATAAATAAATCCTTAAAAACTACTACTACTACAACTAGTAGTACTACTACTTTTATTATTATATTAGCAGCTCCATGATTTGGGGGATCCATCGGTCAAAAAAGACCACCACTTTTCTATTAGTTCCATTTGTTGGCAAAAGCTTTTTTATTGACCTCATACATGTCCTGATGAAATATTTTGAAGACTAGCCGTAATCTGATTCTACAAACTAACACACACAAATTCCAAGCACATAAAATACTGCCAAATTACAACAAAGTAACCCAGTAAGATCCACTGACCCAGTATGACATGCAAAATCCTACAAAAGCCATTGCTGATTACCATATGCCTCAACAGTAATCATCCCCACCCAGCTACGCTGTGGGAATACAACACTAACAACTGAACTGATGTTTATCTCTTTAGGACTATAGGACTGCAAATATGACAGAGAGAACAGTGACACCTGCAGTCATTTTATGAAATAAGAAAATACTGTGTGAGGAAAAATGGTATCAACAACAATACCAATTGGTGTGCTGTGTTGTACTGCACAGAGTGATTAAACTAAATAAATTGAGTATTCGTGAAGGGTACAGGCAAAAAAAACACTTATTTTACCAAAAGAGTGCCTGATGATCATGCAACTCTATCGTACGCATGGGCATATGCATTTGCCCCTGAAAGGCCAGAGAAGAAATATAGTAACTGCTGCAAATCATTACATACATAGTCTCAACTTATCACCTACTGAAGGGCAATAAAGATTTAACCCATAGCCTACTATTCAAATATGCTTTGTCACTGAAACAATGTTTACAACACACACAACATGGCTTAGTTTGCTGTCTTTGCTGCTTTACCTGTTCATGCATTGTTGTGTGAAGTACATTTAAACCTAATATTTTATAGTTTAAAATGAACAGGTTAACACATCTCTCTGTGGACTTCTCTGTTTTGAACAAGTTTTTTTAGTGACTATTCTCAAATACAAGTGTAAGTCCGACTAATTCGATCCAAGGGCGGCATTCAAATTAGCGGTGAAGGTCACATGCGCGTTCCGTTCTTCCAATGGCAAAGGGATTTATAATTAAATGCAATACATTATCTTATGTATTAACTCGTTTCATCTGACTCCATAAAATGAAAGTGTTTTTCAATGATATCTGTGCATCATTAAATATACGTTAATGTTTGACTATTCCTTTTAACTCCAATGAAAATAAAGTCAAAGTCTGTTAGAATAATCAAATATAACAATTTATTATGTCAGGTAAATGTATTATAACAATTCCATAATCAATTGAAAGATAATCAATGCAAATCATCAAATGTTTTAGGATTAGAGAAATAGATGCAAACCCAACATTTAGGAACTACATGAGCTAGTCCTCATGGGCTATCTGAAATACAGAAAAAGCCACGATTCCTTGCTGCATTCCATTAAATAGCCAGAACTTCTTTTCAATGGTAATTTGCATTCAGGTTACACCTTATTTTGGGGGTAGGGGAGAAAGGCCATTTGTCCACCTTTCTTTGTGTGCCAGTTTCTCTAAACTCTTAAAAACCT